CAGCAAGCCCCCTATGTTTTTCCTCACCACAGTTACTAGAAACCTTGCTAACGCCAGGTTCCTGTAAGAAAATTCTGGTCCGTTTTGAGGTATGTTTTCAAAAAGTCGGCTAGATATACATATATATATATATTATTATTATTATTATAAGGTACAAATTCTCTGATTCTTTGGTTTTGGTTGGATATCGTGATCGCGGGAGGACCGCACATCAAATTCTCTACATGAAAAACTGAGGCTAAGGGCGTGAACGCTGAAATAACGACAACAATTTTAATCGCAACACGATGCCTCCAAAGATCGATTTACAGCCCCTCTCTGGGAAAAGAGATAACGCTATCTACGCACTTAATGAATTATTCGTAGAATTTGAAACGCTGTATTCTGTGAAACCCAAACTAAACTTATTGGCGGCTGTATTTAATGAGATCGAGTCAAAGTACAGGGCTGTCAAGAAACAGATAGAGATCATTGCTGAAGAGGGTGAGAAGAGAAATCATCACCGTTCTTTTCATAACGAGAAGAAGGTGTACCCATCAAAGTCAAACTTGGATCCCAACGCACCTGCCTTTAACAGCAACAGAAGTCCAGATCAGGCCGAGTCTAGTCCAGGGAAGAGACAACGAGGGCGCTAACAATGTCAAAAACGTACCTGGAGTCTGTCCAGTTCAGAAAATCAGAGGCAGAGGTAGCGGAGGAAACTTCAAAACCTTAATTGCCATGTTGGACACCGGCTCAAATACAAGTCTTTTATCTAAGAGAACTGCAAAACTATCAGGTCTGTCTGGTCCTCAGACACACCTTACTATGAACTTAGCCGAGGACAACAAAGGGAAGAGGTGTCCGAAGACTTGGAGATTGTGATTGAATCACCTGTCGATGAAGACATCCGAAAGAACTTCCACGTACACACCGTTGGTAAGCCTTGTAGCAGTGCTAAGACCGTGTCGACAAAATCTGTTGAAGCTTATGTTCACCTCAAGACGATAGCAGATAAGTTACATCTGTCTGGTGATACGGTCGATCTTCTGATTGGAACTGACTTCGTCGATGTCTTTGCTGACATCCATACAAACAGCGGTAATCCAGGGGAACCAATGGCGAAAAGGAATTGTTTTGGCTGGTATATCTTGGGACAACTGGACTCGGATGCTGAAGCTATACCACGTGTTCACTCAGTGGACATTGGAACTGTGAGTGCCTCAGGAGACATAAGGAAACTCGTTTATCAAGATTTCCTAAGAGTAAGACGGACGGAACTTTGTACCTGCAGTGAAAATGCTCTGCGCGAGAACAAGTTTGTAAAAGCGCTCTCAGCCTCGACCACGTTGGTGAACGGAAGAGTGCAAGTCAGAAAGTCCTGGGAGGAAACCGGGCCTCCGAAACAAAGTAATTATGACATTGCCTTGAAAAGAATGTATTCTGCTGAGAAATTGTTCAAAAAGATAGATTGCCTTGCGATCCTGGATGAAGAAGTCCAAAAGCTAGTAGATCAAAGCTTCGTCATCAAAGTACCACCTGAAAACATTGATCACAGTCAACAAGAATGGTACATGCCACAACAAGTGGTGTTCACTCCGGAAAAGAGCACAAAAATCAGACTTGTGTTTGATTCATCATCTAAAGCGCACGATGGTCTCTCCCTTAATGATCACCTAGAGAAGGGACCAAATTTATTTACATCAACAGCCTACCCAATGTTCTATCAGAATGGTGCTGTGATGAGTTTGAGTATGCCGGAGATATTCACAAGATTTTTAACCAGGTGTTGGTGCATCCGGATGATCAAGCTTTTCATCGATTCCTGTGGAAAAAGAATCAGAGTGATCCTCCCACCGTATACCAGTGGCTCAGACTAAATTTCTGTCACAAGCCAGCTCCGGATATCGCTTTGAATGAGATCAACACCCTGGCGAAAGCTTCTCAACGGGAGTTACCTGAAGCGGCGAAGGAACTTCAGGAGCGAACGTACGTTGATGATATTGGTGGATACAGGCCAACCGCTGCTGAAGCCAAGCATGTCACAACTACAATTGACGAAGTGCTTGGAAAAAGTCAAGCAAGAAGACACATTCGCCCTAAAGAAAGACTCAGTTGTGAGAAAGAAAGAAGATTTCACAAAGTGATCGTGCCTCGCCCTGTTGGCCCCCATTGGGACCCTATTGGACTCGTCGCGCCTGTGACGATTAACTACCGAATTGACCTCAAAGAACTGTGGAGTACCGGATATGGTTGGGACGACATTCTCCTAGAAGCAATCCAACAAGAATGGAAGGAAAACGAAGAAGCAATAAACCAACTTCTAACCTTCAAATTTGACCGGAAGCTAAAACCAGATCATGCAATAGGTCCACCTCAAGTACATGGTTTTGCGGACGGAGGAGAACTGGAGAATGGAGCAGCCATTTTTCCCATCGGAAGCTGCAGGATGGAAGTCTTCAATGCGTCCCAGTTATTGTCAAGCCCTTTGTCGCCCCGCTGAAACGGAAAACCATTCCCTGACTTGAACTCTTGGGGTGCCTAGCACTTACGAGAATTTACAACACATGCCAAGAGACGCAGGCCTTTGTTAATTTTCACGAATGCGATAGGACTCTCTGGACAGACTCTCGATTTCATTTTCGGTTAGATTCGATTTGTCAAGCTTTTAAAGTCGATTCACAAGTAAGCAATGCAATGTATGTCTTTATTTTCAGTTGACTACACATATACACATTTAGCTAGCTGTCGTGAGATGGGAGATTGTGACATTAAAGTAGTTCAAAAACAACTAGTAGATCCCGTAGACATTATTTTCCTGGTATGTCTTCAACCCGAGTAGTACCCAAACCCGTGGTGCGAAACAGCGCGAGCAAATTCAGGTGAGTTTACAGCGATTCAACACGGTACGGAATATTCCGAATGACTTGCTGAAAACACTATTTGACAGCTTGTTGACAGCTTGCTGACAGCTTGCATCGAAATTTAGCCAATGGGAATTGCCCGTGGCTGGGAGAAGAGGGTAATTCGAACGAATATGACGTATGCAAAACGGACAGTCCGTATTTTTAGCATCTCTTCCCAGTCTCGCTCTCTCTTTTCAGCCTCGTTTCCGACCTTTTGTTTGACTGCTCGCGCCTAGGTACTTGAATACGCAAAAATACGGACTGTTTTCCAGTCCAACCTTCTGGAGATACGCCGGCGTGGTAGCTGGAATACATTTCCGAGGGGAGGATCTGACATTTTGTCCTCTTCGTAGTTTTTCCCTTCGACATTTGTTTATATTTGTATTGAGAATGCAGTGCAGATTGGTGGATTTTACTACATGCGGCTTCGTGCGTCTCGCTACTTTTGAATGAAGAGTTAGCTGAAGAGTGCTGGATTTCATCGCTTTGTTCACCTTTACTAGTGTTGGCGAACCTAAAGTAAAAACAAAAAGAACCGACTTCTGTAAAATAAGGATTGAAGTTTTTAAGTTGTTGCTCGGCGAAAAATCGTGCATAGTTCTCGTGAAAACCGTGAGTATTACCTAATGCCAGCGATGACTCGCTTTTTCGATGGTAACGGGTAACTCGGATACACTGGCGATAAACTTCTTTCGAAAAGTTCAGTATAATTTCCTTATCCAGGCCATTTGATGACGATTTCTCGTTATGCTTTATTTGCTTTGCTTAGATGATTCCGGCTACGTGGGAGGAGCTAGATGACAATGTTTGTGTGCAATAATCTCTTGCACCTTGGTTTTGAATGCCAAACTCGTTTAACCCTAGCATGAAACTCTTCTATTATGGAGGAACTATAAACGTCGATCTTTTGATGCCCAGTATGGTGTAAAATGTTTAAGGAAATCAAAGCTTAATTTCTGAAGAGCGCGCGAGGCAAACGCGAGCTTTAATTAATGCTTACAAACCCAGTAATGCTTAGGTAGAGGTAACAAACACAGGCTACACTTTATATAGGTGGCGCATCCATGAATGCAGTGTAACCCTGTGATTCTCTAGGTAGAGCTAACAAAAATATAGGCTGCACTTTAGGTGGCGCACCCATGAGTACAGTGTAACCCAGTGATTCTCTAGGTAGAGCTAACAAAAATATAGGCTGCACTTTAGGTGGCGCGCCCATGAGTACAGTGTAACCCTGTGATTCTCTAGGTAGAGCTAACAAAAGTATTAGGCTGCACTTAAGGTCTCTTTTCTCTTGTCGTGGCCGTTAAAATTGAAACCAGAGATCGTCTCCCAAGGAGAGTTAATAGTTAACTTGAGACGTAACTGTCGCGTCCGACGTGCCAGACAAGGTTAGGGTTAGGGTTAGGGTCTCCTTTCAAAACGACTCATAAACACAGGAACACTTCAGGTAAATACATCCTATGATTTAATTATCTAATGCAGCGTAAATACATCCAATTATTCCATTAGCTAATACAGGATTAGGTTTCCCTGTGAGAGCCCCGATACAATTCCTTACATTAAAATTATAAAGAATTGTATGGAGCTTTCCGGAATACTTACAGTGCAAGCCCTTTGTATCCTCTCATGTAACACTTTTCACTACATTACTTCGTTCTGCTTTCAATTGGTCTGAAACCAAGTTTATTTGACAACATTTTTACGATGCCTTGAATTATATTTTTCTTATTTTTAAGCCCTTCTTTTCACTGTGTGATGACAAACTTAGATATCGATGAATGAAATAATTCATTTTGAAACGGTAGTAGATGAAAGTGAAGAATGATCATCGCCAAATTTTCCAATTTAAGCAATTGAAAGAAGAAACCTGAAAAAAAAAATCAGAATTCGAACCCGTGACCTCTTTAATTTGCTCTACCACTGAGCTGTCATTCGAGGTCAATTTATTGAGTTCATATCTCCCAATGTCATGATGTAATATTGACCGATTTTTTGAACTGATAGATGAAAAAGAAGAATGATCATCATTTCACCCGTCGAATAAGCTTGGTCCAAAAATTAATAAGCGTTTTAGGGCGGTTAATTTTTTACGCTTTTTTTTAATTTTAAATAGATATCGATGAATGCAGCAACGGTAGCCATGATTGCCACCAAAATGCAACTTGTGCAAATACCCCTGGACGCTTTAATTGCAGCTGTCAGTCAGGATTTGTAGGAAATGGCCACCAATGTCATGGTATAATATTGACCGATTTTCAATTGATCTGAAAGTTTATGTCGATCTTCAATTATGTTTTACATTTTTTTACCCTTCTTTTTAATTAGATATCGATGAATGCAGCAACGGTAGCCATGATTGCCACCAAAATGCAACTTGCATAAATACCCCTGGACAGTTTAATTGCAGCTGTCAGTCAGGATTCACGGGAGATGGTCACCAATGTTATGGTATGACTCACTTCTAAAAGGAATTGCAATTAAATTTGGAATGGGTGATAAATCGTAAAACCGGCGACCAGCGCGATGAATGCAAACAAACCCAATGAGCCACAATCGCCACAAACATATGTCTTGTATTTATACTCAGCTGGAAAGAAATTCGTATAAGGCCAGAAGTTACACTGTCATGATAACAATAATATTTTACTTAATTTGTATTGGATCGGGAATCTAATTCTTTAATCTTTAATGTCTCGTAGCAATAGCAGCCCTGCTTGCCACCAGCAAGGAATTGGTGTTAATATTGCTATGCAGGCACCTGTCAGCCAGTTATCTCCCGAAAAGGCCGTCAGTGACGTTTCGTAATTTGCTTCTTCCTTAGTGAGAAAATAGACTTTACTTGAACTTTGACCAATTACTTTTGCTTTATGGTCTGAATATATACGACAGAGTGGATCGAAGTTTAAAATTTCGACTAAAGAAGAGATAAAATTATAGTTTATGTTATAGAAAGTAAAAAGAAACAATCGCATCTTCATGAGAGACGTTGTACTAAGCCCTTGTTCCTCGAATATCTTGGAATTACCGCGCCACTCCTTCTAAGCCATAACACAAACAGTTACTGACAAGAATCGGATACGTAGTTCCTGAGGACTCGCAGGAGCTAACCACAAAATTCAAAATTTAAAAATACGCAGATCAATTCTTCCATCACGATTTTTTCGATTTATACGAGTTTTAAGTAAAATGTATATACATCTAATTAATTGATTAATAAATGGCGGACCCAAGATGGTGGATGGTTCCAGATCTTTGTTTATAATAAACGACGTCATCGTGATTTCACTGTGAAGTTACTAAACCGGGAAAACAGCGAAACTGTCTACTGGAAACAAGCCTATTCCTCGAATTTCTCATTCAGTTGTCAGACTCGGGTGCAGCTCAATTCTGTCGACTGAAGCGGTTGCTGCACACATGCGGAGCCTAATGTAGTAACATGGAAAGAGTTTTCTTAAACAAGAACGCATCGAAGTGGGAGGAAAGGGAACATTGTTCGAGCAGGGTTCTTTCAAGAAATTTGTCATGCTCTGTGAACTGCGTTCAGAAAGCAATTGTCTTGTGCTCTTGGTAACCAGGCCACAGAAACATAGCGTTGTAATGGCGGACTAAAATTAATGGTTTTTGAGCGCAAAAAAAGACCACTTTCCTTAATCGTATGAAGCTATAATTTGCACACCGTGTACTTCAAGTACTAAACTGCCAATCTAGCAAAAAAAATGATAGTCAAGGATTTGATCGTAGTAGCACTTTAAGGCGGACAGTAATCCATAAAATAAACGACACTACTCCTTAACGCAGGTACTATCAGCGTGGGCTTTTTAACCTTCAACAACCTTGGACTGTGAGTAATTATTAAGAAACTATAAACTGGTTATTAAGAAACCCGGCCATACACAAGATAAACCTTAAGAATAACAATTTTTTGTAAACAAATCATGTACTAAGTTAACCTCACTGTACAGTTGACTTTCAAAGAATAGACAGAAGCGTTGCGTCGGCTGTCTAAGAACGGCTGAGTAAGGAACGAAATATAAAGACGAGGCAATGGATTATAAACAACTTGTCCAGGTTTTGTCCGATATGCCTCTGACAAGAATTGCCGCCGTGACAGCGATCCTTTAATTATGTTTGAGCGGATTATCTTTAATAGACTTCAGTTTTCATGTTTTATTCAGTCCAAATGTAGTTCATGTTTTGTTACCCAAGAGAACCGTTTCTTTCAAATTTCGGCATTACATTTAGTTGCACATGTACGCATAATTAAAAAAGAAAAGACAAAAGGAAAGGGGAAAATTTCTTTGATAACTGATCACATGACCTTTATTTGGGAAACAAAGGCATACAAGCCAGGGGCACCCAACGAGAATATAGTTCAAAACCACATAAACATAGCATTTTTGAACGTACTTTAGTATTTGAACGGTAGATAAAGGCTTATTTTTATCCCCTAAAAATTTTTCATCTGTTCGGATTTCCTAGCTGAAAGTATAGTGATCCGAAAATTATAGGGATCAAAATTTACCTTTTCGAAAATTTCAGCCAAAAAAGGCTCCCAAAAGTTCTAGGTGACCTTTTAAGGGTAAAAATCCGTTAAATATGGGCAGTTATACGATTTTTTTGAACTTCGAAAATCCTAGGAGAGGCAGGCAAGCAATAATTTTTTCAGAAAATGATCCGAAAATTCTAGATCTCAAATCGTCTTCCGAACAGATAATTTTCCGAAAATCGTCGTTGGGTGCCCCTGATACAAGCAAGCAGTTGTGCTTTAGTTGGTTGAACATGAAAGTTTGCTAAATGCAGTGCTCACCTTTAATGAAAGTGCAGTAAGATGTATTATACTTCGGATTTATTATGCCACACATACTTCCTCTTTCAGACCTCGAGTAATGGAAAAAGTCGGTAAAATCTTAACCATCTCAAGACCGTCATCCACGCGCACTCTAGGATTCCACATTATAACACCGAGTTAAACCACATTTAATTGTATTTCTCTCGTACTTTGTGGGACCCACGATCACCCTATGTCACCCGACACATATACATATTTGTTCGCAAATTGTCTTTGGTCAAACGTTTACAAAAATCACAACCAAAGTTTCGAAAGAGTTTTGCTGTTCGAGAAACCGGCAAAAAGTGAAATGTAGCGTTTACGTCATAGCTGCGAAAATAATGATTATAAATTTGCCAAAATTCTGGCATTTTCAGAGTGTTCAGGAAAAAAACCAGCTTAAGGTCTCGGTAAAGGAAAACGAGGTGCCCACAGAAAAAAATTCTAGTCGCGCGAGTATTTTCGCTACAAAGGCAAGTTATATATCAAATTAAAGCAAAAAGACTAAATTACCTTATAAAAGATTTTATTTCATCGAATTTCAAAAGGCGCTTAAGTTTTTTGCTCTCGAACTCAGAGGTATCGAGTTTACTGCTGAAGCTCCAGCCCTTTCGCGTTGTTAAATATTCACTTCCTTTTTATTGCATCTGATTGACAGATAAAAGACCTAAAAAAGCGTGTGAGGAAATTTGCATATGTCTCGTATTAGCGGAATTATTGCATTTCAAACTAAGAAGTCGAGTCTCGAGCGCGATTTACGCAAAGAAACTGACATAAAATGTGTTACAAAGGGAAATCGGAAAATTCCTCACACCCTTTTTGAGTCTATATCATTATCCATCATATCTGAAAGTTTCAAAGCGATAGCTTAAAACCTGTCCCGACTGGAGGTCGGAGAATTTTGATTTTTGCGTCTAAAATAGGGTGAGAGAAAATCAGCTCTAAAGATTTAGCGCGAGGTCCACGCTTGGCTGGTTAGCTCAGAAAAGGCTCATTTTAGAAGGGTTAAAAAGCACTTTCTGATGTTCTTTTTCTGCCAAAATAAAATTTAGGACCCACTCATGCCAAAAATAAAAACAAAAACAAAATCGAGCAATGTACTAAAATTTTCATTTACCGAGACCTTAAGAAAATTTATTTATTTCAGTGCTGAATTGCTCTCATTTGTTTTCTTATCCAGATTGTTCCAGTTATCACTTTGAAAAATACCAAGATTTACCAACCAGAGGAGCTCACGCCGTGGAACATTTCACCATTTTTATAGCGTTCGCCAACTATAAAAGTGACACCGCCGAAAAATATAACACAGATTCTTTTATCTACAAGTTCAACGATTTGACTGGAAAATTCTTTCTTTATCAGACCATAGGCACACATGGAGGGCATGACGTGGAATATTTTACAATTTGTGGCGAACATTATCTTGCTGTTGCTAATGTTCAAAATGAAACTACGTTCAGATTGAACTCAGTTATTTATCATTGGAATGGAACATTGTTTGTTGCCTTTCAAAACCTTGCAACTAAAGGAGGAGCCAGCTTAAATTTTTTTACAATAGCGAAAGAACCTTTTCTTACCGTATGCAATCTCTTTGATGATGTTAAGCGTAGTATTAACTCAACCATCTACAAGTGGAAGAACAACATGTTTGAAAAATTTCAGGAGATAGCGACAGAGGGATGTCGTGGAAATGATGCGTTTGTAATTAACATTCTCAAACTCATTAAGAATTCATAAAGAAAATACAAAGAAAATTAATGTTTAATGAGTGTTTGGAAATCGGATGAAAAACTGCTCAGTTTTGCAAACGATTTTGTTTGTCGTCAAACATTCGACACAGTGTTTATCAGAGGGCTTCGTCAAAAATACTCCGGCGCGTCGCAACTTTGTCATCTGGTGATGAAAGACTGCAAAACGTCAACTTCAGAGGGCTGGGATGCAAGCTGCAAAACCTTCAAAAGAAAAGTGCAATGAATGTAAAGTCCTTTTACATTAATGATGATGCGTTTCTCGCCACTGCCTCTCGACCCGCACAGTCGTTCATTCACAAGTGGAATGGAAGTCAGTTTGTCCTAAATCAGACTATTCCTACTTACCGGGCCAGGGTCCTGCATCCCTTTGTTATGTGCGGTCAAACATTTCTTGGCGCGGCTAATCGGGGTAGGGTTGGCACCTACCACATAAAGTCAGTGGTGTATCGGTTCTCTCAGGACCAGTTCACTGAATACCAGAATATTTCAACTTTTGGAGCTATTGATATGACGTCATTTGAGCACAAGGGTTATACTTACTTGGCAATTGCTAATTCAGGAAATAAGAACCAAAGGAACATTAACAGCACTCTGTACAGGTGGACCTAAAAAGATTGCGTATTCATTAATTAGAGAGGCCTGGGACTAAGGTGTTTACCCGTGGAAAATGAATTATTGACTATAACTTTGGCATAGATGATAGCGCTGAATTAAAATTTGGCACACATGAAGAACTCATTGTCCTTAACATTTTAAAGTATAAATATTGTGTTGATAAGTCACCTGATATGTCACCTGATCATTTTGTTAAAAATCGTAAATTATTGACCAATTGGTGGCCGTTTTAAGAAAAGGAATCGAGCAATAACATTTTTCTAATTGATATTAAATATTTCTAACACTTCACGTTTGGAATGACCGTCCATTGCACTTCAATAAAAAAATTATGAGGGAAAACGTTAAATGCCCAAATGTAATTTTGAATTATTTAAAACTCTAATTTAAAACTTCTTGTACATTCATTCTAAACGTATAACATTAGGTATGTTTATCCTCTTTCAGAAATACTAATTTGTTTACTTATAAAAAAAAATTCGCCACCAATTCGCCAATTTCCTTCATTTTCAATTTTTGTCACGTGACATGTCACGTGATCATAATTAAACGTTAAGGCACACGAAAAACTCAAGGTTTACTTTTGGGGAAAAATTCATTTTGTTCTAGGTCTCTTAGAGAGATATTGCCAATCATTCATATGCTTCGAACACACATTTGACCCAGGCCTTAAACCCCTACTGGGAGGTGAGAGGGGGCCTATGGTCGGCTGTCTGTCAAACTTAGTTTTCGATTTTTTTTCGGTCTTCGGTAAATTTCTGTTAATGAGTAAAAATGCATCTTAGTCGTTATGTAACTCACTCAGGTAATGTAAACTCTATGCAAAGTGTAAATAATAATAATAATAACTTTATTTTTCTAGGGTGACACTTGACAGTATCAAATACTGATAAACTCGTCGCCCTCAAAAGAAATTAAAAATAAACTCAAATACACATAAATAATGAAGTAATAAAACTAGGAGATTTAACAATTAAAATACGAGTTATCTAAGAATAAATATAATATATAGGAGAATAAAGTAGAATAGCCTAAGCTACAGCAAAGTGATGAACATCAAAATACTTATACAAAGACTTCTTTAAAATTTCTAAACTAGAGCTACACTTAATTTCATTGGGAAGTGAATTCCAAAACCTAGTAGCTGATACTTGAAATGTCCTAGCACCTTCTGATTCTCTTTTATACTTTGGACAAATTAAATTCAAAGATCCATATCTACTTTGTCTTTCAGTAGAACGTATGTCGATGTTTCGTTTGAGTAATTCTAGCATATAATAGGGACACACCCCGTTCAAATGTTTATAAACTAATGCGCACTGATTAATCTTAGCTTTAAGAAGAAAAGTTAGCCAATTGAGTTCTCTAAACAGATCTACACTATTTGCTCTAGTAACAACATTGAGAATAACGCGTGCGGCCCGCTTCTGTAGCCTGAAGACCTTATTTAAATTATCAACGGATGTAGAACCCACACACTAGAGCCATACATTATGGTTTGTTTTATCATGGCATTGTAATAAAGAATTCTTTGATCTAAAGGTAAATGACGCCTGATTTTTTTCAAAACAGTAATCGCTGTGTTAGCTTCTTACATAGATTATCAATATATCAATATGCTCATTAAAATTAAGCTGAGTGTCAATAATTACTCCTAACAGTTTATGAGACTGGACTTGTTCAAGTTCGACTGAGCTTACATGGACAGTGAGCTGCTCATCTTCTTATGTAGACGTTTTCCAGCTACTAACATAGTTTTAGTTTTGGACTCGTTAAGTACCATTTTATTGTCTGTGGTCCATTGTGCAACTTTACCAACATCAGCTTAAAGAACTTGAATTAAGGTTCCAGGTTCAGTGCTAATCAACATTAGCACTGATAGTGGTATCATCCGCATATATGTCTACTGCTGAATGTTTTAGTATCTTTGGTAGATCGTCTATTGCGGAGCTCTCGCGCGCGAGACGCGCGCCAGCAGAGCACCCTGGGTAAGTAAATCTACCCATCCCAGAAAATTTGGTAATCACGTGACCGTACACCGAACTACCGTCCGTCCGCACCACAGGCATACCAATGAAAAATTTGGGGTAGTCTGTGAGTGCAGTGAGAGTTTTGGATCCTGGGAACGAGGATTTTTTGGCGCGAAAACGAATGGCCACCGCGTTTTGTGAAGTATAAAGCCTGGTTTCCATATAATCGTCCCGATCGTCTGAACATGTTTTGAGACGACTGGGACGATCCGGAAGATCCGGACGATCATATGGAAACAAGGCTTGAACAACTTAGAAGTTCAGCGAAGTCAACTCGGAACAAAAAGAATTTTTTTTTTTTTTTGTATCAGTTGACAGAAATTGTTTTTACATTCGTTTTTTCTAGAATTTTCATTCATTTTCTCCTCTAGTTTGGAGTATAGAGAAAGAGAGAGGCAGAGAAAACCGGAAAGTAGGCGGCAAGCAAGCCATGCTCAACGAGAGAGAGAGCGGCAGAGAGCCAGAGAAAGGAGGCGAAACTGCACCGACAAAACACGGGTTACGTCTTTCGTTTTTTGTCTTTTAAACTGTCCCTTTTGACTAACATTAGAAATTTCAACGTTCTGTTCATGGGCTTGCCGCAAAGTCTTTGCCAGCAATCCACATTTCGTGTTTTCGAGTGCTCGGAAAGAAGGGACTCGTCAAACCTCAGTGTTACTGGAAGCAAAGATATTGGAATTAATGACTGACTTGCAATGGTCACATGTTTATAAAGCAGCTTTTGATTGTGTACGCAAATGGATACAAAATAACTGAAACAAACTTTAGATAGACCAAACAACATTACTTTCATAATTTATGAATTCTTTTACTATCTATTTTAAGCAATACGCACGAAGTTTCTAACGGTTCAAAAATCAGTACATGAAGTCTGAAGTCGGCACTGTAATGACCCAATTTTGATTAGTGATTAGTCAAGCGATCATCCCGTAGAAGTGATTCAGGAGAAAAACCCCCGTTAAAATGTATTTAATAAGTCGCTTGCGCGACTAAACAATGTCTCGTCTTCTCCATTGTCTGCTTCCTGCCTGATCAATAGTGCAATTACAGTCGAACCATCCGTAAGGCCACCAGCCAAAATGCGAAGATTTGGTGGGTCGCTTACGAAAATCAAACCGCAATTGTCTCTTTCGAGAAGAGGTGACGAAACTGGCGATACACTTACTTTCTGGAGGAGAACTTATTGCATGTAAAGTTATATGTGTTTTTCCGTGTTGTCACTAATTCGTGTAGTTCTTCGTATTCTCCGAGCAGCGTAGTACATACAGCGAACTTAGATATCTTACAGTGTGTCTAGTGATCGCTTAAAGAGATTAAAAGAACGGAAAATTACGTAACCGTCACCCTAAATAGTGCTCGTTTACAAGGAATTCTAACGACAGGGCTTCCTGTGCAAAAAAAATTTGGTGTTTCGGTTAGATGTGTCGCATATGGGAGTTGCTAGACTGAGAGCAGTCTCTTTTTTTCTCTTTTGAGTGACAGTATATCGAGAACACACTTGAGAGGGGATCCGGGGGGTACTCCCTATAATGGCCTGTACGCAGAGACTCTGCCCGAAGGGGGCACCTTTTTCAGGTTTCAGGTATATGAAAGGGTAGGGATTTCACCAGCTGAGGTACATATAAGGGTAAGGAAATCTGATATTCGGTGGATAAAGGACTAAAAGGGCAGTTAAAAGGGATGCCGCGCTCTAAACAAGGTATTTGAAAGGGGGACCATTTGTCAGTAGAAGGAACAGGAAAGGGGTACCTTTTCCGTCAAAAATGGTATAAAAAAGGCCAATGGGTTAAAACTCCATGGAGCCTTCCCGTATAAAACGAAATTAGGTAGCCTCCTGTCCCCTCCCCCTCCGGAGATGGGAGAGGCGAAGGCGCTAGGAACGAGCCAAAATTAATTTGCATAATTTTACTTTTCCACTCGTCGCGCGTGGCTCTTGGGAGTTCGTGCCACTGGTTATCCTAGATACATATATTTTCAATTTTTTTTTTTTTTAGAAAGGTAGACAGTTTGACATGCCAGCTAAATATACGGGAACCGTAATTACGTCCCTTAACTCAAACGATAGTCCATCCTGTGGGGTCGTTAGCAGCTACTTACAGGAACAAAATTTACGATGAATTTTTTTCATCAATCTTGATTATCACTTATGTCCTGTTGATCGTTGGGGGAGGGAATGGAGAATCCCCTTGGAAATACGTGAGGAACACGGATATAATAACAAGCATGCTATGGAGTTAGTTTAACTGCTGCAGCAGACTACTTAGGTAAAAAGCTCTCTAAGTTAAATTGCATATTTCTATGGTTTTGGGGGTAAGAAGGAAAGCCGACACTGTTGAATTACCCACTTTCTTTGCTTTTATTGTATCTAATACCATACCATTTAATACAGGGTGTTATTTTATTCCCCTTTCACTCGTATGACCGTTCAGGAGCCCATAAGCTCCTGGCTATTACAGTACCTCTTACTAGTTCTTATCTTAGATCATGGTGTTGAATAATGCCTAATACGCGTTAAGCTTCTTTAAAGAACAAAACTACCCTTAAACCTTGAGGACGACTTCCGTTATGGTGACTTCCTATCGCACAAAGACTTTCCAAAAATCGCCAGGGGACACTCCCACATTATAATCGTCGCATTCCCACCTGCCAGATGGTGTAAGAAACCAGCAGTGGTAAGCTGCCATTACAAAAGCAGCGTGGTTGTATAATCGATCCTGATCTCTTTCATGCCCCCATTTGCCAACTTTGTAAGAACCTCTTTGGTATCCCCAATCCTTGCAGGTTCTTGCTAACCGCGAGTTATCATTGCTCATGATCACAAACGAGCCACAAGAGGCAGGCATCACATCTGTCTCACCACTGAAGTATTTCACAGCAGCCTCACCTTTGCTGTTAGCAGCCGTGGTGATGTGAAATGTACGACCTCCTCTTTTTTTGCAGCGGAATCTTATCCGAGTGAAATACAAGTGCTTCCTCAGCTCCTTCATGGCGCTTTTTGTAAGTACCATCTCTTTGCTGCTTACTCCGCGGTACGATGTCTTAACTGGCAACTGAGTGGGAGATGAACCGTGCGAAACAACGTTGGATACAAGAAGCCATCCCCCTGAAATTCGATAAATGTTTATCATTGCATTTGGTTTATCAAGTCATGTGGGCCAAAACAAGCAGTAATGTTCAGTTCAAAATAATTCACACGGCGGAAACCCAGATGTAGCCTCCCATGGGCAGGAACGCGTGACGAACCCCTAAAAACCTGGGAGGCTACCCGGCTGTGAACTTTATCAATGTTTTACAATATTACTCAGGCGAACTGTACAGTACCGCAACTGATCCCGCGTGACCGTAAGTGGTCCTCAGACCGAAAATGATCCCCCAAAATGGACCGCAAATGATCCCCATTGTCGACCGCAAATGATCCCGAGAGGAAAATCCGAGAATGGCCTGGACTTCTAAGTTACTGGTTCATCGTGTCACGTTTATTATCGCAACAAAACGAATTAATTCAACTGAATTAATTTAACAAATAAAGGCCAAGACTGAAAAAGAAAGAAACCTTGAACATTACACAAATAAATGCAAACAAAAAAAGAACTTAAATGCAACCAGTAAAACAATAGCTCTGCTTAATTGCTGGTTAACATTAAAGCTTAACTGAACTAAACCTCACATACTATAGAAAAATTAGATGCAATAAGAAAAAATTGCTCAAATCCGATCTGTCGGATACTTCGTATGAACTTTAGAAAATGATAACTTTTGTAACCGTGAAAATCTTTGAAAACGACCCCAGATAAAAGCTCGCTCTAGTACACTGAACCCCATTAAGATAATTCTTTGCTCATGGGTACAAAATGTTCCACTTAATCGTTCCTTCGTTTCTCTTTCCCTAATGTTGTATCTTTGTAACTGTCTGTGTCTCCAGCAGTAAAGACACGGAAAATGAATATACAGGTTTGCGCCGACAGGGTCCTTACCACTAGACGCATCATTTTCACTAGTTGTAGTTGCTAAGCGTATTTCGAAATAAACCAAAAACCTCTACAGTGTGATAAATACAGGGATCATATTCCGGGGTCATATTTCCCTATTCCTAGGCGTTAAAATGAAAGAAAAATTTCCTTCTTAACGTCCTTCCTGTCCTAAATCTTCACAGCAACGAAACATCAAATGCTTGAATAACGAAAGGAGAAAAAAGTACAAAAAGAAACTGTTTTATTTATTCATTGTTCTACGCGATGTGCAAACTCTCAGCACATTCACCATCCATGCCTAAAACAGTATTCCAGTCCTCTACTTTTCACGGGATCCGCTTGTGGTCGACAATGGGGATCATTTACGGTCTACTTTGAGGATCGTTTGCGGTACTGTACAGAACTAGGAACCTGAGACTAAGAAATTCGTGACTCGCTAGGCGCTTGCTAGTGTGAAATTGATACTAAAACGAGGCTTGGCGCAAAAAATGCATATTATTATTCATTCAAACAACTTCTCCATGGTAACACTTAACAGTTATAAGAAAAATTGATAAACTGATGGATTTCACGTTCCTGTTCCTCGGCAAATTCAGGATCCAAGGGGATGCTTTGTCTTGAAGATATTCTTCAAGTATGAGATGTAGTTTTGCTGTTTTGGCCATGTTTTTAGGTATTAGATCAAGGTAGGTATTTAGAATTTCCTGAACTTACTTTAGAAAAATGGGTTTCCCCTAGCTTCAACTCAAACCATACCTCCGTCAGTTGTCATGTCACAATATGCCTTAAAAGGACTATTAGTCCTTCCAGGGTCAATCCAGTACTCCCCGTCGCCATTGGAGATACCTAAGTCCTTGATTTCTTTGCAGGATTGAGCGGGATCGTAGGAAAACAGCCCGCGTGTCGCTACAACAAAATAGATATCAACATTACAGATCAACTGTGAAAAGAGACTCAAAATCTGACTAATAATATACAGGTAAACGGCTTCCCGGATCTTGCTTTATTCATTCAGATGAGCAGTGATTCCTGTTGCTGGAAGTAGAAGTAATTTAGAGTTGAGGCTACTAGGGAGGAAAATCATTAAAAATAATAATGCATGTGAACAGATTTCCCGGCTTAAGCCTGTACGTACTGTAGGCTAATTCCAGTTCACAGCTAAGAATCCACGACAAATGTGTTTGCCTCAGTCTAATAAATTAAAAGCAGAGAATGCGATAATTGCGTGTTGTACTGAGATATTTACCTTTACACTTCTTGCCATCTCCCTTGTAATTGGGTTTACAGGTGCAGGTGAAAGACCCTTCAGTGTTCTTACATAACGCATTTCTGTCACATTTATGGATTTTGCTTGTACACTCGTCGATATCTAAATGAAAATCATAAACTGCATTTATTTTACCTTTAGAAGGCAAGTAAACTGATAATTCTTCCTTTACATTCTATTCTTTTAAATCTACGTTACAGATGAACGCGACGGATTGTGTGGCTATGGTAGTGTTATAAAATTACCTGACAATTTGTTCAAAAGCTGAATAAGGCTAGCCGCTAGATAAATCACCATCCAGTAGATAGCGCAGTCAGTTTTACTAATACTTATCCACTGTGTAGTGATTTATCTGATGCAAAGCGCTATCCAGCGTTTGAACAACCGGTGCCAGGGAGAATAAATACAAGCAATGGAATGAACGCACGTGCTGGATGTATAAACTATATCGTTAGGTGATCAAGAACTTAGGGTGGATTTCCACTGCCGCGTGATATTCATGTGCGTACGCACGTAAAATGTACGCGCATAAATATAATAGAGGTAGTCAGGGCCCTGGAGGCAATGTATGAAAGGCCGTGCGTAAAAGTTGAGCGAGGTTCAAGTTTTACGTTTACGCACAACCTTTGATACATAGCCGTTATTTTATATACGTACTTAAAACTAAAGAGCCTACGCACGTAAAAATTACGCGACGCTGGAAAGCCACCTTTAAAGAGCGCTAGATAGATACCTCTACACTTCTTTCCATCTCCCTTGTAACTGCGATTGCAGGTGCAAGTAAAAGACCCCTCAGAGTTCTTACATAACGCATTTTTGTTACAGTTATGGGTTTTGCTCTTACACTCGTCGATTTCTAAAAACAAAGACAGTCTGAATTGGGGCGACCTTGAGGCCTAAAAGTGAAATTTTCATTTTCGAGTCTTTTTGAAATCAACTCAAACTTTTACGTTATTACCAGTGAAGTTCTTAAAGTCAAAACAAATATGTCCCCAAACGGAAGTTCGTAATTGTTTCGATTGAAGGAATGAAAATTCGTGTAAAAGGTTGTTCCACACATTAGTGCAAATATTCTTTTACTGCTTAAAATTCCGATTAAATACCCACTAAGGGCTAATTAGAAAGTTTTGACCACAAAAAATCATAACAGTTCTGTGTATACACTATAAAGCATATTTATTTAGTCTATAAATAAAATCAGAACAGAGGACAACTAAGTTGATCAGTTTGCGAACAAAAGGGCAAAATATGGAAGGCATTTAAAGCAAACTTCAGTACTTACCAACACATTTGCGGCCATTTCCAGAGTATCCAGCTTTGCAAGTACATTTGTATGAGCCCGCAGTATTCTGGCAAGCAGCATTCACATTACATCTGTGATAGTTAGTTGTGCATTCGTCAATTTCTAAAAGAAATCACAGTGTTTCATTCACTCACATGTTCTATAGTTGATAACCTTGCTAAGTGCTTATTTTCTGAAATGATATTCTCAACTTGAATTCATCATAAAACTCTTGAAAAGAAAAAGCGAAATTTCTTTGAATTTTACCAAACACTGGACACAATGCTTCCACCTCACGTTATGACACCTTAACAACTGCCTAATAAGCTCGGTCGCGAGCCCATTTGTACCTTGACATAGTCGGTCAGGTTTGAAACATAAACTGAAAAATAGTTAATAAAAGTGGAGTGCCTTCGAAGCCCTACAAACGTCTTTATTAAACCAGTATATATGGTTTTTTTGGTTACCTTTTTTGGACTCATCCGACGTTGTGAAAAGTTCAATAGCATTCCTATCATTTTGATCCTTTTCACCAATAAAATCGTAGCCTGTGTACGGACGCCCCCTCCCCTCAAAAAGGGCAAGGGGGGTCTGTACACAGGCGATAAAAACATTGCCTAACTTTATTCATTCGCATTTTGTGAGAAAAAAAGAAGATAGCTACCAACATAAACTGCAGCACCTATGTTAAAATCTTAAGCTTTGATTCCGTTTGCCAGCTTTCATAACCAGTCTTCTCTACCAACTATGACTGAAAGATGATACTACATTCATGCGCGCTAACATTGGGTGGTTTTGTTGTCGTTTTGGCTACATTTGTAGCATAAAATATTGAAGTGAACCACAACCCTTTGCAGAAGATAAGATTACCTCAGGTGCCAACTAACAGATCATTTAATGTAAGTTGTAAAACGAACCTGATGACCGCTTTTACCTTGAACACAAGTAAAGTTATAGCAGTTATCGCAGGACACATCGTTCCAAGTGTAGCCATCATTGGCACCCAGAGTGTGAACACAGTCTTCGTTTTTCCAGTCGTTTGGTTGTTGCGGAGCCCAGAACCGAAAACTGGTTATTTCCTTGTTTTTCCAGACAAATGATCCCTCAACGCTTCGGTCATTAAGTCCAATCCATGATCGCTCTCCATTATGACGGTGCTGAATGTAGACATTTTCTTCTTGGTTGTGCACTGTTACCAGATGTGAGTTCATAGTTGAACAGTTGGACACAGCAGTCACCCAAGGTGCGCATACAGAGCTTGTTAAATAGCAGTATCCATTGAAGTAATCCCATCCAGATGGACAGATGTCTGTGCGTATACAAAGTAGGAATTAATGAACTGCAAAATGACATTGCTTAAAATGTATAGCTTGAGGTGCAGTTATCTACTTCGAACATATTTGTTATTTCCGGTTTTTGTGATTAAAAAAGGAAATGGAAAAGGAGAAGCTTTGTGTTCAGGACAAAATAAAGGCAATACATAAGACAAAAACAACTGCAAGTATTATAAAGCACTCCATTATACACATTAATATGTATTTGGAAAGAGGGATGAACGTTGTTTTTTATCATCACCCGAATGCATTTTTTTTATTTCCTCCAGTTTTTGTGCATTCCTTTTGTGTATTGCTTGTATTGCTTTTTCGTTATTCACAGAGTTGGTAAGTACTGAAGTTTATGATTAGTTTTGTAGCAGTAGTACCTGACAAAACTGTGTACGTTACTGACAATGGGTCATATTTTGCTTCATATAATTCTTTGACACAAGCACGAAAGCATGTCTTGTTGATGTACTGCAAGAAAGGGATGTTTATCAGCTCATTAAGTAGTTCACACAGACGGCTGACGGCGTATTTTCTCCCTTGCTAGTAGAAAAAAAACTATAGAACAGTTCATGTAGGTCTTGACCAGAAGACTTTCCATATTTCTCAGTTTGACGCATGTTAAGAAGTGATCAACCCTGTTCAAGAAGTTTGCATGACAGGGCTTCAAAGGGAAGAGGAAAGAGGACAATTGAGTGCGCGTTATTACGTGTCAACAACTTAAACCTCTCATGCGATAATTGGTCAACTGCTGTCAAATGTTTGGAGGCGAAATATGTCGCGTTCACGGGAAAGTAGACCGCGCGGGTCACGGAAACAGCATATAAAAATAACCTTCATCGCACGCGTGCGAACTTTCAATAGATTTCAAATAATCATCACGGGGTACAGGGATTCGCTCTCTTAGCTCATTCTCTCTTGCGTAACATCAATTTTAGTTTTCTCATTGCTGTTTGTTTGACAACATTTGCTTACCTTCCGCCATACAGCTACACAGCTTTTTTTAAACACAGTTTTAACGACTTTCCATAATTCATGGCCATTTTACTAGCCAAGGGTTATTCCTGATCGCTAGTTAAACGGATAAAATTTAACTTTTGAGCTGTTTTTTTGCACGTTTTGTGTTCTATAAGCTGTTATTCTCAATAGAACGCTATCTGTATTGTAAAATAGAGAGTGTTAATTACAGTCATTCGTATTTTCGTAAGGTTTTTAAACATGCACACAACACATGTAAGTGTGGTTGCAAGTGGTATGTTACACAAATTCATAAAATAAATGAAAAGAAAATAATTAAATAAATAACTAAAAACATACCTCTACCCACTCAGCTATGCTGTTATGAATTGGACTCTGACTTCCATTTTTGGTGGAATGATTGGCAGAAACAAACACATGTGGAGTTGAGTTATAAACTTTAGTAAAAGTAGCCTCCTGTCAAAAGAAATTACCTAATTGTAAAAATTCAGTCTCTGACATTTATATAAAGGTAAAGACTTGTTCCGCATTAGGGCATTTATAATCTATATTTAATTTTCATTTTAAATATTCACTGAAGTATGACAGGCAGCCTGCTAAACTGATTAAATGCAACTACCATCACTAGAGACAGGATAGGGCAACCGTTTTCTTTTGCTCTCTGATAGTAAATTTATTCAATAAAATTAAGTGAACTGTGACGGGAATTGAAACCAATAAGACTAATGAAAGGACTGGAATACTGACCTTGCAGAAGGCATTATAATGACTCTGAGCGGGAGGTTTATCATTCGAAAAGTAAATCGAATTGTGTTCTGAGAAGGGAGGCTCGTCAAGATATGAAAACGCTAACCAATTCTGAAATAAAGTAAATAAATAAATAAGAATAGAAAGAAAGAATTCTTTTTCAGTCTCACGTCCTAACTACCAAAAGATTGTGTCAACGTCGAAAATAAAATATAAATGGTAATCTCTCAACAAGGTTTATATAAAACAGCCACCGACATCTTAGGTTAATTACAAGAAAGCAATAACATGGTCAGGTTGACAAAGCCGGATGAAGAGGAAACAGATGGAGGGAAATATATTTTCAAGCAAAAAATCGTGCATCTCTGCTGGACCAACTGCTGGAAGCGTAAAAAAGCGAAAAGATGAGATGGAGAAAGATACCAGTCTGCTGCACTTAGTTTCCAAAGAAAAACGCTGTTCGTTCGACTGCATGAGATTAGCATTACTTACAACAACAACGTCTTGGTGTGATCCAGCGTAGTTTTGCAATTCTCTCAAGCAAACTTTGCAGGATGATTGTGTGACATCTTCAATCCATATGCTTGCTGCGTCACGTTTTAATCCTGGATTGTAATGCTTGGCAGTCACAAATACCGACGGTATCACAGAGAATTTTCCCTGAAAAATAAATGCGAGTTAGGCAACTCTCAACTCTTAGAAAGCTACGAACAGGAATTAATTTCGTATTTTTGCAAAAAGGAACCCATGACATTTGATATGCTGGAAATTGGTAAAAGAATAATTTGTACTACAGTGACATTGTTCGACTATTAATTGGTAATAAGTGTACGGCTGCACCAGAACGACAAATCACTGCTGATGCATATTGAAAACGATCTGTTATTAACTGAGTGAACTCAGTAGAAGTGAGGCGTTTCAAAAGATATGATCTTGAAAAGAATGGAAAGGACAAGAAAGCCCAACAAAGGCCACTCACTGTAGGAAACCTGACAGTCGCACAAGTCGTACCAGTCCACCACTGTGACATACGCACTTCACCAGTCACGCCACCCACTGGAGCACCTTGGTACGCCATCCAATCAACTGTCACGTTAGCATACGACTTTCGTTCGTTATATCCTGCCGCCATCACACAAGCAGTGAATCCGTCGTTATTCACATTTTCAACCCACGATACTGCCGCGTCATGGACATACGATTTGTCACTGGTATCCATATGATTGACAGTTATCTGCACTTGAATGGGTTTGTCAGGGTAAAACACAAACGGTTTGAAATGAATGGCATGACAGTGAGAGTAGCCCAAGGATGGAATATGTGGCATGTGGCGACGACCACGCTGAAAAGGAAATCCTAGAAAACACATCTCAAGATGAACTATAGATTAGTATGACAAGCATGCGGAGCAAAGGGCATTTATCCAGAACTTAAAAATGTTAACAGAGCAGCAAATGAGTGGTTCTAATAAAGAGGGTTGTTACTCTCTACTATAGAAGTCCAGGGAAACTTCACACCGGACAATGTATCGCTTGTCGCTGCATTAGGTAAATAGCATGGCAAGCAGTGGAGAGATTAGAACTTGCATCCTGAGCAGAGCTACACGGTGGCAAATGGTGAAGCCTATAAGCGCTAAAGGAAAGGAAAGTGAACATTCACTGTAACTACTACTTCTCGCAAAGAAAAGATTCAGTTCCAGTTATGCTTAAAAAAAAATATAACTCTAGGACTACTACTACTACTACTACTACTACCACTACCACTACCACTACCACTACCACTACCACTACCACTACCACTACCACTACCACTACCACTACCACTACCACTACCACTACCACTACCACTACCACTACCACTACCACCACCACCACCACCACCACCACCACCACCACCACCACCACCACCACCACCACCACCACCACCACTACCACTACCACTACCACTACCACTACCACTACCACTACCACTACCACTACCACTACCACTACCACTACCACTACCACTACTACTACTTACTACTACTACTACTACTACTACTACTACTCTCAGACAGAAGAATTAGTTTTAAATTTCTTTCAGTGATACATATATAAAAAAAAACAAATAATTTCGTTGAGTATTAACTGAAAATGCTTAAATATAAGTGTATCCGCCACTTTTTCTGACCAGTATTCTTACTAGCATTGCTCCTTTGCATGACAAACGTTTTAGCAAAATTACATAAAATTCTGTACTTCCATAAAGTCATGCATCTATCGCCGTTTTTCCCTCCAGATTACATGGGTAAGTAAATAGCTCATTCGAAAAATTCACTAAGGGATTAATACTGAAATCTAATAAAAAGAAAAATCACTTTTTAACAGATTCAAAAACAATTGTACTAACCTTCACAGCTGCCAGGATGTTGAACGGTTAAGTTTGGTCGATGTAGACAAACTTCTCTTTCAAACAAACATCTGTTGTCGTACGTTGTGCCATTTGATGAGCAAACGGGATCTTTGTAAGATGGGCAGCTATCCACACATACACAGCGTGCATCATGGGGTCCAAACGCCTTACAGAAGCTGTGATAATAACACGTAACGTCTATGCAGGGATCCAAGTCTGAAGATAATTAAGCAAATAACAACAGATGGATTTAAAGCGCCCATAACTTAAAAAGTTATTTTTTTAGAATTGAAAATGCACATTACTATGAGAACGTGGAGAAAAAAAAAATAATTGCTTTGAACACAATGTTATTAAAGAGAATTTTTTGACACGTTCAAATTTACCGCCACTTTGGCACACCATTCGTGCAAGTCTTCACTCGGATGCCTCCCGGAAACAAAGGGGCTCTAACGTATATTAAGAAACTGTAACGTAAATTAAGGAACACGTGACTTTAGATACAAGAAAAAAGTATAGATTCTACAAAACTTTCGTCCAATTTACAAGCTGAAACTGCTTTAAGAAGCCAATAAGATGCATTGCAGGTAGATGCAACAACACTGGCGACTCTAAGAAAAGGATAACAATGCACATGATCCCGTTTTTCAGCTCAGTCAACCAAATCTACAATCCTCAAAAAAAGAGACAACAAAAAAATAGCATCAATTAGAGAAAAAAAGCTCTCCGTGAAACAACTTCCAAAGATTCATGTCATAAAATGTACTTGATACACTGTAGCATACAGCCTTTACCAAGGTTTTGATATATTGTTTACGTACCTCCAATCACCAGGTAATCCAGTTGTACGATGTCCTTATAATTGGCGTTATTGCTGTATCTTCTCATACATACCTTGGTTTCGTTTGTAAAGGTATGCTAGACACAATCATTAGAAGTATCCGATTATCACTCATTAAGCATCATCAGTCATTTTCTTACCTTAACTGCTATGTCACTACCAAAGGTCGTTTAGAAAGCGAAACCGTGGCGTGCACAGGTTGGTTGGAAAAATTGTGAAAAAAGAAGATAAAAAAAAACTTTTTTGGACTCCTTAAACGACGTGAAAAATTGAAACAGAGACAATGCTAAAAGTAAGTTCGAAGGGAAGAGATAGGAAGGCAGCCTAAGGACGGAATGGGCTAAGAAAAATGGCTCCAAGTTTCATATGTTACCTGAATCCACACAGTAACTGCGTTACAAGTTCCAGAAGCCTAGAAACGGGAGTTGTTGTTATGGTAACTGAGTCTTGGTGAAACCATTACTATCGGAGGGGCATAGAAAGCATCAGTGAACTTTATTATCTATAAAAAAACAAGAAAAGAATCAGCGTTATTAAGTTTTTCTACACATATGCGGTATATGATATATGTTGTCTAAATAGTTGACGATAATATGTTGTTTAAATAGTATAGTTGACGATATTTTCTGTTTATGAATATAAGTGACTGAGAAACCAAAACAGTATAGTTTATTAGTTACTTTACCTGACAGAGGGCCTTGCTTTGTTGCTTGTTTAGTGGTGAGTTATTCTTTGTTGTTACAAGGCCATGGATCAAGGTAGAATTCAGCGTCATCAGCTTAACAAATGCTATCCAGTCCTGAAGGACAAGTGAAAAAGTGTTAACAATGTTATCAATATATTCTTTCTCAAGTCAAGGTTGTTTCTAAGAGACTGGGAGCCCATTGCTCTGAACCTGTGTAAATCACAGGGTACCCAACATAGGGTACCCAACATAGGATCTAGGATAGGATGAAAAAAGCTACGATTTCCTAGTAGGCATAGAGCAAAGGTAGAGCTCAGAGGCAACTGGGTTCTGCTAGGGCACAGCCCCTGTAAGTTGCAGCAAGGGAGGAACCGCTTGGTTGTCGCGTGAGTCTACTTTCAAACATGTTACAGGTAACAAAAGGAATTCACTTACCACCTTGATGTTTTTATGCAGACCATCAAAAATCTTAGTTTCCCTGAGGCAAACCTTAAAACTGTCTCTGCGTACATCCTCTACCCACAATGCCAAGGCGTCCTGAGGTCTCTTGAGAATTTGGTGACGAGCTGTTACGTAGATGCTCGGAGGAATTGAGAAACGCTGAAAAAGTAAAAGAGAAGGAAATAAATAATCAATTACATTTATCTTTCAAACAAACAAGGGTATGATATAAAACGATGGAAGTGTGATAGAAAAAATCATTTTGAACTTGAAAGAAGCAAATTGGATGGAATTTCCTAGTGCAGATGAAAAACTAAGAACAGTTTTACGAAATAAACACAGAATTTGCAAATCAGCAAATAAAATGATAATCATGAACTTGGCAACGTAGTCACAAAAGGAATCGAAATATAGACTTTCTCACTAAATTTTTTAGAGCAAAAATTAGCAAAAATATGAAGATTGTTAAACCTCTTTAAAGATGTGTTAATGTAAATAAAAAAAAATTGAAATGATCAAAAAAAGTGGAGGACAGATTGCAAGATAACTTTGATGGAAGAAAATAGAGGTAGCAATATATATCAGATCTTGGTAAACAAATAAAGAATCGTATTTTATGATGCAACAATGTTATATGGCATGACTTAAAGATATAAGGAGGACTACAAATGGAAAGTCTGCAGCTCCTACGAGCTAAATAAATAAAGAGGAAGTTAAAGCCACTTAGTCAAGCAAAGCTTAAAAAATGACGTAGTGAAATCTTGTGTCTAGGTTTGAGCAAACAGAAATACCTAGTAAATGAGTAAGAACTATTAACTTAACGAAAACGCAAGGGGAAACAGAGGTAACCTTTTCAAAGGCGATCCTTTTACACTTTTCTCCAGTAGTCCAAGAATCCAACGAGACTGTGTCTAGTTGAGCGCCAACGGGAACAGATTGCAGCGCCATCCAGTTCACTTTCGCAGTCCCACTAGAACCATCTCCGTACTCCAAAACACAAACTGTAAATTCTTTATTATCCACAGATTCCACCCAAATAGCCGCGCCATCTCCACCACCATAACACTTTGTTGTGTGGCTTTTGGAAACGAAAACTTTCACATCCTGCCCGCCATTGAAAGGCTTCTCAAAGGAAACCTTTTCACACGCAAACAGACCAGGAGTAGTAATGGTGACCTTGCATATTCCAGTTTTGATACTCAGCGCTGGGAAATACAAAAAAGTAAAAATAATAAAAATAAGTGTAAAAACAAAATACAGAGATGAATATTCTCTTTTATACCTTCAACGTCTTGGTAAGAAAGTGCAGCTACGAAGAAGAATGCCGACAACAACTGCACACGGACTTCTTGCTTGGTACACATCTTGCTTCAAATGAAGAAAAATCCACTCTGTTGAACATTATACCTCTTAGCAATACGTGGCAATATAGTCCAACTTGTTTTTACGTGTTTAGAAAATCTCATTTGCTTTGTTTGTGGGGGTAGGGGGTAAAGATCTTTGAGGTAAGTCAATTGTAAGATTTATGCGGAAACTTAGAAGGGTAGGCACGTGGGTCCAATCACTGCACTGTCACCACTACCATGGCGATGTATTGAAAAATGCAGGGGAAGAGGTTCCTCTGTTCTTCTGTTTCCTTTAGGTCCTAAAATCATGTTTTCAAGTAATAATTTTAGGACTTAAAATTTTAACTTTGAAACGCTTCCAGTTAATCTGTCAGGATATTTTATACTATATATAATAAAGGCAAAAAACACAACAACCCACTGAGGAATACGGGAATTTGTGTGAACCTAGAGCACTTATAAATTTGAATAAAAAATAAACCAAACGAAGATAATATCATTTGTTTTATGTGGTCCAAAATTTCACGGACAGTTATTAGGTGAGGTCTCCGCCACGAAATTGATAGCCGACTTCATCATTTCCATGATGCAAGTTTTACTGAATTATTTTGAATCCGAAAAATTATTTTATTTACCCCCGCCACAACAAAAGTTAATATTTTGATTTAAAGATAATCTAGGGCGAATCTCGACCACAGAAAGCTGTATTTTTTTTTCTTTCCATACTTAGATGATTAAGTCTTACGAAGACACACATTACATCGAAACAAGCAGGCAGGAAGGTTCCATCTTGCCCTACTGAGGTGTAGCTTGTTACAGCAAAGGATTTACCGGCTTCACCCTGGCCACTTTACAGAGCAAGCAATGAAGCAAGAGATATTCATTGAAGACATTTGCGATTTAGTTATGTGGCATTAACAAGTTGTTCAGATTTGCATTTCAACATTCAGTTTATCGAGTCCGCACACTTTTTTATTCCCTTGTATGCATATTTAGTTTGCTTATAACGTCTGAATATTTGCTTAAAATCAAAATTTTCATGGCTTTTATTAGAAGCAGTGTTTTCGTCGAGAAATTAACCAAAGTATTAAAAGACAAATACTTTCCTCTTACTTTTGAATGCTTGAAATATTGATACGCTGAATTTCATTTACCCAGACCAAGACAATTATACTGAGATCCGAAAATTGTAATCAGGATACTTAATTACAATTTAGTTCGCATAAGACCGCGCAACGATCGTTAGAATTCTGCTTAGCGAGTGTGTTATACTCCTCAACGCCGAAAAAAAGAAAGAAATTTCAAGGACTCGGTACCGGTATGGCCTCTAGTCGCATTTGAACCTTGCGGGTAAAACCTTTATTGTTTAGACTCAGTGTGGTCCTCTTAATTGTCCAACCTCGACTTAATTTAATATTTCGCCATAAAGTTTGCGATTCAAGGGAATTATCCTCTTTCGCCGTATTTCTCCTTCATAGCGACCTCAACATAGGTTTGTTCATAGTTATTAGAGGAGACTGGTTATGAAAAGCGGCAAACATCAATGATAAAAACAACAGTGCTGCAGTTTATGTTGAAAGCACCCTGAAAGTACACAATCCTTTGTTTTCTGTTGGCAAATTGTTACGGAATAAATTAATGCAACGTTTTTATTGGTCAATACAATCAAAATGATAGGAATTCTTTGAACGTTGTGCACTTTCAGGTCCACAAAAACATGAACAAAGGAGTCTGACGGGTTCATCACCATTTCACTCAATTAACTATGGGTTTGTTACCCCATGTTATCTCAAGACGAACGACTTCCGCGAGACAAAGGTAAATAACTGTTCTCGTTCCAACGCGTTGTCTATCTCAGAAACTATGAAGAGGTCTAATGATTTGTTATTTTCGTTATTTTTTTAAAAGGAGGAAATATTGATACAGATAAGCATAGGTTACAAAAGGTACGTTCAAAATCTTAGAGTTATTCTTTTCAGTGGTAAATCCAGGATATGCCGGAGTTAATTTTCCCCTTTTACAGATGTTTATTTTGCATAATGACAACATGACAAATTACGTAAGAATCGGTGCCTAAACATTTGTTAAATTTCTGTTGAAAGATAATGTGTAATCTAATTTCCGTTTCTTTTTTCTATTGCAATATTATTATGACTTAAACTTCCACTTTTTTTAGGCTAAAAAAATTAGATTATTGCAGATTAGTGATTACCCAATGTATTTATATATTTGCGTGACATAGAGGACATTTGGCTAGACCGTGGATATACACTACTCGGTGTGAAAAGTGAATGTGGGAAAACCGCTGCAAAAAAACCTTCTTGCTCTATGAGCGCTTTACATTAGGTATAAATGTTGTTCATTTCTATCGTCAATACAACTAATATAAGCACTGAAAATCACAGTTACGCGGTTGGTTGTCCCTCAAGATACCACTCACCTCATGATTACTTCCTGATATCTCTGTTTAGAACTTTGTAATAAAAAGAAGAATAACCTTCGTCTTAACTTTGTCGGACAGGCTGATAGCCTGAAAAATTAACCTAAACTTTCTTGGTCAGAACTAATTTTCGGACGTAATGCAGTCATTTCATCAAGCAGTCGAGAGTATACAAAACGTCACGGTGAACTCAACCTATAATATGCCCATTTTATACATTGAAATCAAACATTTGTTTAGTCGTGAAAAAAAATTCAAATTTAGGGTATTTTCACTATGTCAATTCAACGTGCCATTTGCTAATCGGCTTTTTTTTTCTCGAAGTAGATGTCAGTCTAGATTCCACAACGTTTTGAGTCATTCTACTCCGGTAAAAGATTGAAAGTCTTTGGTGTTTCAAATATAAGTTAACAAAATGCAAAAAAACTATAGAAAGGATATTTTTTCTACAATAACTGAATTATATCTCGCACGCTGATTGGCTAATTGTTATTATCATTAAGAGGACAAACACATAAAATTTTAAGTTTTATAATGCTTGCTTAGTTTAGTTTCGTAGAAGATTCACTTTCTGTTCTCTGAGAATAATAGCCAGAAACTTCTGATGCAAGACTTGCATCCCGTTTGGATTCTCTGCTAAAAGTTTAAGCAGAGGAAACTAAACAAGACACTTAGTTTCCAAAAGCGGGGACGACTTTCTAGAAATGGTACAGTTTCAAAACTGCGATTTAATGTTTAATGTTTCTAAATGTTCGTAAAAAGTTAAAAAAGTAAGAAAACAATTCTGAAAGTCGACTAGTTTATTAAAAATAAGCACATTTATAACGGTAGTTTTCTTTTGACAAGAACTGAGTGTTTTTCTGATCCTTTTTTCCGAAAGCAAAACAAACTTTTTGTACCAACTTTATGAAACTTTGTAAGTACCTCGTAAGTTGAATTTAAAACTTCGTGACTATAATACCCACCTTTCGGTTTGATTGTACACAGCTCATATAGCTGAATGGCATTCATTACGACAAACAAGTCGAGAACTGAAGTAAACAACCAGCCGTACACGATTTCTGTTCGTACTGATCGGTTAACAACTCTTCTAAACTGCCAGGCTAGTTTGATCTACAGATAGTTTAACCGTACATTGCTTCGATTTGTTCGTTTACTATAGCGGCTCCAAAATCTTTCCTTGGAATAATATTTAACCTTAGCCTGGGCTAGAAGTTTACGACTTTATACAGCCCTAAAATACCTCCGTTTTTCTAGGCAATAAACATCGCTGATCTCATTCTTGTTTGAAGTTTGCAAAACAAATTTATGCAGGGCAGTGAGGTGACTCAACCTGTCAAGTTTTTAGCCAACAAAAAACCGTTACTTGTTATCAGTAGCCAATCACCAAATGAGAAAAGTTATTGACAAGAACGTTGCGCTAGTTTAAAAAAGTCAAATTTTCTTGTGTTGTCTTCATTTTTCCCGGCAATATTTGACTTTTTCGAGCTTTTGTTATTGTATGCGGCTCGTGGATCCACAACACTTTGACAGTAGTTAGGAAAATGGGTATCCTGGAGCATACTTCGAATTTTCAGAATTGCATTAAAAAAACTAATAAAATCCCAGAATATGCAAGGGAATTTAAAAATGAATATCTTTTTATAAGAGGTATTAATAAGGAAATGGATAATTTTGTAGTAAATTATCTTTCAGATTGTAGTGAACTTTTTGTTTCTAGTTATAATGATAAAATTAAGTTTTTTATAAAAAAATTTATGAAAGCTCAAGAACTTGGTTATCTTAAGGATACTAGTTGGTTTAAATTTAAAGAGTGTGATGTTGAAAATATAGTCTTTTTATTTGAAAGAATGAATTTTGATTTTGAAGAAGATGAAGAATTTGTTGATGGTCATCCTGATGATTATCCAGGATATAGAGATTTTTATGAGTTGTTTTGTAAATTTTACGATAAAATAAATGTTGATAGTGATAGTGATAGTGATAGTGTTAATATTGAGGATATATTAAGTGGTTATGAAGATTCTGAAACTGATAGTGATTAAATAATAACTTAATTATTTACGTCTTATAATATAATCTTAATATTATAAGACGTCATGTCTAACCAATCAACTGATGTTTTCCAAGGTTCTCAACCTTTTATGACAGATAAACAATTTCAGAATTTATCTTTGGATGAAATAAGACATATTATTGAAGAAGAAAAAGAAGAACTTAAGAAAGATTATAAGAAATTAGGAGAAAGAAAAAAATTAATTAAACAATATAAAAAATTAAAAGAAGCTAGAGAAAAAGTGAGAAAAGGAATTGATATAAAAAAGTCTCTAAAAAGAAAGCCACTGTAAAAAAGACGCCCCTTTCTGAAAAGAAAAAGATAAAATCATTTGACGAGTATTTTGAGGAATGTATAAAAAATAGACAGATCCCCAAAAATACTCCTTCTTATTTTCGTGAAGCTCTTGAGCGAGCTATTTTAGAATATGACCAAGGACTTGTAAAAGAAAAATCAGCTTTTGAAGACTTTGCTGTTAAGTATATTATTGAAGGAATTCCTGGTCTTACTCCACTTGAGTATTTTAAACAAATTTATAAAACTTTAAAAGATTTTTTTACATACCATCGAAATATTAAATTTAAGATGATTTTGGTTTGTTTAATGGAAAAACAAAAAATTGAAAAAGATAAGGGAGTTGTTGGATTAGAAGAAGATAAAGCGTACTTTACTTCAGGAACACTTATTAATATTAAATCAACAGATGTAGAGAAATTAATTGATATTTGTATAAATACTATTGAAGGAGGTATAGAAGCATATCAACAAACTGGAAGTGCATGGTATTTTAAAGAAGTGTATAAACTTGAAATTCATACTGTTGAATATAATCCAACAAAGGGATCATCTTACATTCCTCTTCCAGATTGGATATCAAATAAAAAAGCAATTGTTAATATTAAAAACAAAGATGAAAAATGCTTTCTTTGGTGTATACTTAGATATCTTTATCCAAAAGAAAGAGATGAAGAAAGACTAACAGGTTTGAAAAAGTATGAGTTTTCACTTAACACCAAAGGAATTACTTTTCCTATGAAATTAAAAGACATCACCAAATTTAAAAAACTTAATCCATCTCCTCCAGGAATTAATGTTTTTTCAGTTAATGAAAACAAAAAGTTTTATCCTCTGAGGATGGCGGAAAAAGACTGTCTAAATACTATTGACTTGTTTTTCTTTGAACAAGATGGTGTTTCTCATTATTCACTAATTAAAAACGTTACTCGTTTGATTAAGACGCAAAAAACTGCAAGTAAGAATGGTTCATTTTATATTTGTAAAAAGTGTTTTACACATTTCACTAAGGATGAATTATTACAAAAACATATCATATATTGTTCAAATAATGAAACAGTTTGTCTAAATATGCCTAAAGAAAACACAATGTTATATTTCAAAAATTACTACAAACAACTTTCAATTCCTTTTGTAGATTATGCAGATTTTGAATGCTTTACCAAACCAATGAATACTTGCAGTCCTAATCCAAAAGATTCGTATAATTACAACTACCAAAAGATGAACCCTCAGGATTTTGTTTTTATATAAAAGGAGTAGTAGATACAATATTTGAACCAATTATTTACACAAAAACTAAAGACAGTGATGATGTAGCTAAGATATTTGTTGATAAACTTGCAAAAGTAACCAATAAGATATATAATGATTTTTATCGTAGACCAATACCTCTTAGACTAACACGAGCCGAACAAAAATCATTTGATGAAGCTGAAACCTGTCATATCTGTAAGAAAGAATTATTAGATGATAAAGTTAGAGATCATTGTCATTTTACTGGTCAGTACCGTGGTGCAGCTCATAACAGTTGTAATCTTCAGTGTCGAAAGCCAATGATTCTTCCAGTTATATTTCATAATCTTCAAGAATATGATGCTCATTTGTTTATAAAACAACTTGCTTGTTTACCAGGTGAGTTAAACTGTATTCCATCAACAGAGGAAAAATATATTTCCTTTTCTAAAAAGATTAAAGTTGATGAGTACAGGTCTAGACGCAATGGAGAAATGATTCCATTATATTTTGAAATACGATTTATTGATTCATTTAAGTTTCTTCAAACATCACTTGCTAATCTAGTTGGAAATTTACAACCAGATGATTTTCATAATACAAAACAAATATTTAAGGAAAATGTAGGCCTACTAACTCGTAAGGGACTTTATCCTTATGACTATGTTTCATCATTTGAAAAACTATCCGAAACACAATTACCTCCAAAAGAAGAATTCTATTCAAAGCTAAATGATGAAGAGATAACTGATGATGATTACCAACATGCTAAAAATGTATGGAATACTTTTGAATGTAAATCAATAAGAGATTATCATAATCTTTACCTAAAGTCTGATGTCCTACTTTTATCAGATGTATTTGAAAACTTTAGAAAAACTTGTTTGAAACATTATAATCTAGATCCAGCTCATTATTACACATCTCCTGGACTTGCTTGGGATGCATGTCTCAAAGAAACAGGCCAAGAATTACAACTGTTGCATAATTATGATATGTTGATGATGTTTGAGCGAGGTATTCGTGGTGGAATATCTCATATATCAAAAAGATATCCAGTAGCAAATAACAAATATATGAAAAATTACGATCCTAATGAGGAGTCTAGTTATATTCAATATCTTGATACAAACAATCTTTACGGATGGGCAATGTCACAACAACTTCCAACACATGAATTTAAATGGGTGAGAAACCTAACAAAAGACACTGTAATGGATATCTTGAATAAAGCAAATCATAGTATGTCAAATCGTGGAAGAAAAGGATATATATTTGAAGTAGATTTGGAATATCCTTCAAACCTATGGGAATCACATAATGACTATCCACTTGCACCTGAAAAGATGATTGTTAATGTGTTCAAAAACTAATTTGTCATTTTAAACCAAGAAAAAACTATGTTGTACATTATCGGAACTTGAGGCAATATCTTGAGATGGGAATGAGAATAACTGCTGTTCACAGAGGAATATCATTCTATCAAAGTTCTTGGATGGAACCTTACATAAGAAAAAATACAGAACTTCGAAAAACAGCAGCCAATAGTTTTGAGAAAGACTTTTTCAAACTAATGAATAATTCCGTATTTGGAAAAACAATAGAAAACATAAGGAAAAGACAGAATATATTTCTTATTGATGATCGTAAGAAAGCTGCCAAACTATCAAGTCGTCCAAACTTTGATAGAGCAACAATATTTGATAAAAATCTTATTGCGGTTCATATGAAAAAAACAGAAGTGTATTTTAACAAACCAGTATATGTTGGACAAGCAATACTTGATCTGTCAAAAACATTAATGTTTGATTTTCATTATAACTATATTCAGAAGAAATATAAACACAAGGCTGAGTTATTGTTTACAGATACCGATAGCTTGATGTTTCAGATTTACAGAGATGATTTTTACAAAGTTATATCCTGTGATATATTAGAGAAGTTTGACACATCTGATTATCCTCCTAATCATCCATCTGGAATACCAACAGGAGTTAACAAAAAAGTAATAGGGATGTTTAAAGATGAAGTAGCAGGAAAACAAATAACTTGTTTCGTTGGATTGCGACCCAGACTTTACAGTTTTAGAATTGAAGAAGATAAAGAAGTACGTAAATGTAAAGGAATAAAGAAAAATGTTATAAAAAAGAAATTAGATTTTGATGACTATGTTCAATGTTTATTTTTGGGTAAAAAACAAATGAGAAAAATGAAAATAATAAGAAGTGAAAATCATGATATATATTCAAAAGAAGTTAACAAAATAGCTCTAAGTAATGAAGATGATAAACGCACGGTGATTGAAGACAAAGTGAATACGATGGCTTTAAGATAAAGTTTCAGTAAATAAAGATGGGTTACATTTTCTTTAACAAAACTAAATTTATTCTCATCTTATTTATGATAGTTATTACGCGAGTAAAAAAGGGGAACTCTATTGCACTAAGAGTAATAAGATATTAAAACTGGGGACTCATACTAATGGTTATTTGTTTTTTATTATTTTTAACAAAACAAAAACAAAAAATTATCTGGTTCATAGATATGTTTTTGAATGCTTACGTGGGAATATACCAAAAGATAAAGTGGTCGTCCACATAGATAATAATATGAAAAATAATCGTATTGATAATTTACAGTTATTAAGACAAAAGGAGAATTTGAATAAATGCTGTTGTAAGAATAAAACAAAAGAAATACAAATTAATGTTACAATAGTAAATATTTGTATTTATGGTGGTAAAAGGGAAGAGATATATAAGTTAAATAAAAAAATAATAATAATAAATGACTTACACCAAAGAAGAAATAGAAAAATATTTAGAAATATTAAGAAGTTAAATCTTTTACTAATTATCAATTAGGAATAAAGTTAAACTCATACATCGATGAAAAATGTAATGTATGGTTTCAAGCAAAACAAGTTGCTCAGATACTTGGTTACAAAAATACAGAACATGCTATAAAGAGACATGTAAGTGAAAATCATAAAAGAACTTTTCTTTTTTGTTCCCCGCCTGAAACGGGCGGTCAACAAAATGATACTAGAGGAAAATATTGTTTATTTGTCGATGAAGCCGGTTTTTACGAATTAGTTTTTAAATCTAGATTACCAAGTGCAAGAATATTTCGCGAATGGGTCTTTACCATAGTACTCCCATCTATAAGAAGATTCGGTTATTACAAAATGATTGATTCAAGAATAAAACAAAGAGTAATAATTGATGGAAAAAAATATTATAAACACCCAGTGTTTTCTAATTATGCTGCATCTAAAAATGGAAACGTGTTAAGTTTAAGATCTAAAAAAATTATTAGTATGGTAAAAAATGGTACTGGTTATTTATATTTTAATATATATGATGAAAAACTTGAAAAACGTAAAAATTACACTCAACACAGATTTGTTTACGAGGTTTTCCGAGGGCCAATTCCGCGATGTTTTGAAGTTGATCACATCAATGAAATTAAATCAGATAATAGAATTAAAAATTTGCAATTACTTTCACATAAACATAATATTGAAAAAAGTAAAAATAGACCAATTATTTCTATTAATATTGAAACTGGAAAAGAAAGAAGATATAATTCTATAAAAACAGCTGCGATTGAATTAGATATTAGTGCTGGTAATATTTCTAAAGTTTGTAGGAAAAAAGGTAAATCATTATCATCTAGAAAAAATGGTAAGAAGTATACATTTAAATATTTAGATTAGTTTTCAATATTTATTTAAATATTGAAAACAGCTAAATCTAAAAAAGATAGAAAAAAATACACATTCAAACGTTTATATTAATTAGTATTTTAATCTTTAAACCTTTTTTCTTGATCTTGAAATATTTTCTAAAATATTTTTAATACATCTATAATTTGAAATATCCTTTAAAAATTTTTCTACATTTTTCAACAATTTTTTCATCAATATCAACTCTTTTTGGATCTGTACAAAAAAGACAATAAGCATTAGCTTTTTCTACTAACAATTCATCATCATCTTCAAGTATAGAATCAACTTCTTTACAAATTTCTCTACCTTCTAGAGCTAAAGTTGATTCGTAAGAACTAATTAATTGTTTATCAAATTTTTCAAAATGATCCATTCTAATCTATGTTTATATTAAATTTTTTACTATATCTGCTAGCAAATCTGTCAGCTATAGGTGTTTGATCAATTATCATTTCATCTACCAACTTCATGCGATCAATAAACTCTTGTTTATTAAACTCATCACCTCGAAGAGCTGCACGGAGTTCAACGAGTACCTTTTCATAAGTAGTAAATGCAATCCTTGACATTTCAATTTTTCTCTTGTAATTATTTTTTTTTCCAATTCCTGCCACTACAACTCCAGCACCATTTACAACTCCGAGAACAACAGGGTTTAGGGTTATTCCACGAGAAATAGTTCCAATTGCAAACAAGCATATTCCAGAGATTGTAAAAACATCATCAAGAAAATTTGTAACTCTTATACGATTTCTTAAAACACCAGTATTTCTTATGGTAGTGACTATAAAAGTCTTTTAAGGTTGTGACGTCTGATTCTGACAGAGATTTATCAATGTGATTAAATTCAAATATATCCTTCATTTATATCTATACTATATAAGATCCACTTAACTTTTAACTTAACTTTCTTGTTAGTCATTGATACACTTCCATCTTTTTTTATAAAAGAACTAGTATCAGGTATTGAGTCATCCACATACTTTTTGGTTGCAGCATCTGTATCATTTGTTGGTGGTTTTAAATAAATTATACTTTTGTTATCCATGTCTAGATTATTAGTCATTTTATTTGCTCCAGCAACGTGAAGATACTTCATATCTGTGAAAGCTAATGGTGTTGGTTGTTTTCCACCCGTTGGAGCTGGTAGATTTAATATTTGATTATTGTCCATATCTAGATTTCCAGTCATTTTTTCTGTTCCATCTAGATTTCAAAAATTATTATCGGTATAATTTTTTGTTGCTGGTTCACTGTTTGATGTGGGTGTGCGAAGATTTAGTATTTTGTGGCCGCCAGTGTTGAAATCTCCAGTCATTGCAACAGTGCCATCTTTTTTTATGTAATCATTTAGTTTGGTGTTAACCAAATTGTCAGTGTATTTTTTTGAAGTTGCATCACCATCACCTGTAGGATCACCAAGATGAGTTATGCGATAAGATCCAAGGCTTAAATCTTGTGTCATTGGTTTTGTTCCATCAGTTTTTAAAAAATTATTATCAGCGTAAGACTTTGTTGCTGCTTCATCTACATTCAAACATCTATATCAATGTTTGAATCTACTGTTATTAATGATGTTTTTCCACCCCCAGAATTATCATCAACATACTTCTTGGTTGCCGCATCGGTGTTTGATTCCGGAGCACCAACATTTCTTAGTTTTTTATTTATCATATCATAATCCCCACTTGAAGTGAGATTAAATCCTACTCCTGGAGCACCCTGAATTCCTCTAGCAAAAGGATGATCAAAAGATTGTTCGTTAAATATACCCATTTTAATTATTAGGCTAGATTACCAGTAACGTTTTTTGCAATACGTTTTCTGGGTTTATCAACATATAGAAATGTAAATGGTTTTCTTGTTGCTGCTTTATATGTCTTTTTGTCAACTCCCAACTCAGATGATATCCTATTGGATTCCCTCGATGATGGAAATTCATAAAGGCAGTAATGAGAACAATTCAATCGAATATCCTTTGGAGTTTTGTAAAATGATTGACTGAGGTAGATTACAGAGCAATTCTTATGTCGTCCTTGAATGAAATAATCCATAAGTTGTCTCTGGTTTTTATCACAAACGTAATCATCAAATATCACAAGTTTTTGATTGTCTTCATAATCCATTTCTGACACTGGGGTTATTTCATCATTACTCACATGAAGTATTTCATATCCAACTTTAGAACTCAGTTCTCTCATTTTTTGCATTAATTGTTTATATTTATCCTGCTCTAAATTACGCGCATAAAGATAAATTTCATCGAAGTACAACAGTGGTTTAATTAACATATGATATAATAGATTAGTCTTACCACTTCCACTGTTTCCACAGATTAACATCCGAAATGTGTCTGATGGCATGTAAGGAAATAACTGTTTATATTTTTTTTCATCCGGGTCACCGCTACTATCATAGTTTGGTATTTCCATTTTATTTAATCATTAGATAAAATGGATATTGACGAATAGAAAAAACTTGCAAGAAATAAAATCGAAGCTGACTCTTTTACTCAACAGGTGAGAGATGTAATAAAAATAACAAAATGGCAAAAACAAGATGCTCGGGAAGGTTTTAAAGAGACATTTAAACCACTTATTAAATCTCAAGATAGCATTAAAAAAAGTATTGATGAGCAGCAAGACGCAACTATAGCACAACTTAAAAAAAATCAACTTGCATTAACATCAGGATTGGAAAAGATTCAGGGGCACCCAACGACAATTTTCGGGAAAATATCTGTTCGGAAGACGATTTGAGATCTAGAATTTTCGGAGCATTTGTTGTGAAATTTCTTGCTTGCCTGCCTCTCCTAGGATTTTCGAACATCTGCAAAATGGTATAATTACCCATCTTTAACGGATTTTGACCCTCAAAAAGGCCACCTATAATTTTCGGGAGCCTTTTCCTGGCTGAAATTTTCGAGAAGGTAAGTTTTTATCCCTATAATTTTCGGATCACTAGACTTTCAGCTAGGAAATCCGAACAGATAAAAAGTTTTTAGGGGATAAAAATATGCCTATATCTACCGTTTGAATACTAAAATACGTTCAACAATGCTATGTTAAATGGTTTTGAACTATATTCTCGTTGGGTGCCCCTGAAGATTAATGAAATTAATGAAAGATTAACTGATATAAAAGAATTGCCAGACTCAGATGATTGGATGCCAATGCCTCCACCAGATGATGGAAAAGGCTGAGATAGTAACTGGGTACCTGTTCCTCGACCATCAGGTAATTTAGAAAAAAACCTTGTTGGTAGTGATCTTCTTTTTTTACAAAATTATGATTATCCAAGACCAAGTGAATTTAATGAAGTTGGTGTTCAAGATTTAGAACAAATACATACAAACTTACACCAAAATATACGTGAGTTGGATGGACGAATTGTAGGTAGAAAAAATAATAAAAATCCATCTCCAGAGTATGTAGCTGGAACTAATAAATTAAAAGAATCAGTAGGTATACTAAAAAAATATAGAAGTACAATGAATAGATATTTTAACTCAATTAACTATCAAGTAGGGCAGGGTATTGTTTACTTTAACAACCCACAAGAACTACTAAAAAGACTTGAATTACTTTGTGGTTCAATTCTTGCTGGGAATAATGGTGTGATACCTGAGTTTTCTCAAATAGCACATCTTCTCAACCAAATGAAAGTGATCTCAAAAAAAACAACTTAATGATTTAATAAAAAATTATATATCAATTAGATAAAAATGGAAGAAAGAGCTATCCACATTTCCTCAATAAACAGGGAAAAAAGAGAAACAAGCAGACCTGGTGATTTTACTATTAAGTTTAATCCATCTCTAAAACTTGACCCTGAAATGAAACACCAACTTGCTCTTGATCGGCTGACCATGACGTACTCTTGGTACAACGTTAGAAGTGATTATAAAAACAATAAAATCAAATACACTCATGATGGAACCAACTGGCAAACAATTACTTTTACAGATGAAATGTATTCCTACTCTGATATTAATGATTATATTCATCAATACATGACTCAAAAAAATCATCACACAACAGATTCCAAAGGACAAAAAAAGTATTCAATCAATCTAACTTTTATTCTACCTATCGAATTCTTATATCACTTGACGGTGATTATCAACTTGATCTGAGAGGAACAGAATTTGGAGACCTGATTGGATTTGAAAAGAAACTTATTACAAAAACAGAGTATGGATCAAAACTACCAAATATCACAAATTCGATTGATGTGTTAAATATTAACACAAGCGCAATAACTGATAGCATTGTAAATAGAATAAATGGTAATTAATGGTATTGATTGGTTTATGACTTTCATACTCCATTCAATGTAATATAACTATTAAAATAAAATGATGCGACAATCAGAGTTTAAAATGAGATTTGACCCAGAATTGGGAAAATACACAAGACAACATATTTACGGAGAAGGAATGATGGATGTGTTTAAATCGTTTGGTTCAAAATTATTTGGAAAAACAGTCAAATCAGCTGTTAAAAAAGGAGCTAATAAAGCGGTAACAGCAGCTGCAACAAAAACCGGTGAACATGTTGGCAAAAAGGCTGGTGATAAGATAGTGCAAATGTTATTAAAAAGTAAAAATAAACCAAAAGTTACTTTTAATGAAAATGTTGAAACAATTCCAAGTGAAAAAGAGTTAAATCAAAGATTGATTAACCTTCTTAGTGGAGGTTCAACACGTAAGAGAAAATTATATAATTATTAAAATAAAATGAAGTCATTTAGAAATCCAAAATATTTAGATAGATATGAAGATGTTGTATTTGACCTGGAACAGACTTTAGATACAGCCCCAGCAAATAACGCTTACCAAACGAAAACAGGTCTTAGATTTGTTGCTGATAACACAGGAGAAACTACTCCTTTTGATTGGTATAACGCACGATTATCAATGGATTTTAAAGTAAATAAGCTGGCAGATGGAGGAAATATTGCGGCTGCCGACCATAACGGAATTGTAAATGGTAGTAACTCCTTTATAGAAAAATTAAGTATCCTGGCAAATGGTCGAGAAGTTTATAGTTGTAATTATGCAAATCATGTTGTAAATATTAAAAATTTGCTTGAGTATAATCCTTCATATGCACAGAGTGTTGCTACAAACGAATTTTATTTTCTTGATACATCAACAGCTGCAGAGGAAAGACCTGCTCAAGCAACTTATAATAAAGGTTTTCATCAAAGGAAATTACTATTAGGTGCATCAGCCACAGTAAATTGTGAAATTCCTCTTAATAGATATTCTTTCTTTGAAGCATTGGAAGATCAACTACTTCCTAATACAAAAATTGAGCTAAATATCGAAATTGACTGAAAAGATGCAAATTTAATTTTTCAAGGTGTTGATGATTGTAGAGTTATTATAACAAGACTACAACTTTTTATTCCAAAACTTACGTTTAATTCAGAAGGACAAAAGTTATACATGGAAAATTATCTTAAACCGTACAAATGGACATATTTGAATGAAGTAGTTGAAAGGTCAAATAATACACAACAACAAACAGGACATTTTAGAATTACAAATGCTATTTCAAAGCCAAGGCATGTATTTGTTTTTGGAATTAAACAGCAAGAATTGATGAACAAACAGCAAATCCATTTCTATACGACACTTTTAATTTACCAAATAATGCTAATATAAGAGATTGTCACCTGGAAGTTGCAAATGGAAACGAATATCCATTTACTCACTTTAAACCTTCTACAGATATGTCAAGAGTTTTTAGAAATGTAATGTCATACGTCTATGCAAATAATGATTATCAAGGTGGAACATTACTTAATATAAGTAATTTTAAATCTTTATTTCCTTTTGTTTATTTTGACCTGACAAAACAAAAAATGGATATCAAAGATGGTGTTACAAAACTAGCATTTCATTACGAATTAACTGCTAATCCAAACGCTGATTATAATATTTACGCATTAGTCTTACATGAAAGAGTAGCAGAAATATCACAACAAGATGGAAAACTATTGCTTCGTGCTTAGATTTAATATAATTCTATAAATAAATGACTCCTTATATTGAATACGGAGTAACACTTACAGATGGGCAAAAGTCAAAACTGGCTTCTGCAATAATAAATAAATCACCACTAACTCTTCGGTTAAAACATTCACATCTTCGAGGTTCTGATGAGTTAATGTTAACAAAAAGAAAAATTGATAAAATAAAAAAATCTATTGCAAATGGCACAGGATCAGATATAAAGATAAGTAAAACACAAATTAGACGTTCTGTAAAACATGGTGGAAACTTATTTTCATCACTTGCTTCTCTTGGAGCAAAAGTACTACCATATGCAATAAAAGGAATTTCAAAAGCTGTTCCTGCATTAGCAACTGGTGCTGCTACTGCACTTAGAGAACTTGGAATAAATAAAATATTTGGAAAAGGAATTACAATTCCAAAAAAGTTTTTCCCAATATTGCCAGCTATTAGAGGAGAATTAACCAAATCACAAATAGACCTAATAAACAAAATTTATCAATCAGGTGGACGACTGGTTATCAAACCAACTCGTAAACAGATAGAAGGAGGATTTCTGGGAACACTTGCTTCTATTGGTATTCCAATGGCAATTAGTTTAGTATCTAAGATGTTTGGCTCTGGACTTCAGGTTGATAGACATTCATCATCTAATACAGCAAATGTTTACGTTCCACATCCTCCTCCACCAACACGTGGTGAAGGTTATCCTTATCGCTCACCACCCTTTTTTGGTACTTGGGAAAACCCAATAGGAATGGGAGTTACAAAAAAAAAGTCCAAGTCCAAAGGAAAAGGTCTACTACTAGGAAAAAACAGCCCATTCAACTCAATTCCAATTCTCGGAACCATTTTGTAATCAAACCTCTATCCAACTTTGACCTCATGGATTGGGTAAAGAAACTTGGTATTAAACATTTTAGAGGAATATACAGTCGTGATGGTCTACCAAAAAAGATTAGAAAAGAATGCGGAGTAATCAATCTCGATGACATGACTGGCCCTGGAACACACTGGGTTTGTTATAGAAATATAGACAATGTAGTTGAGTACTTTGATCCATTTGGTTTGATAATGCCAAATGAAGCATAAAAGTATTTTCGTACTTCTGGAAAACGTATAGTGTACTCAATGGATGAAATACAAAATCGCAATACTGTTCTCTGTGGATATTGGTGTTTATATTATCTGTTTGAGAGACAACGTGGAACTAGTATTCTAGATGTAATACATAACCCACATTTTGATAATGACAACAGTGATTTTATAAAAGAGTATTTCTCTTAAGACTAAATATAAAATTTATATTTAGTCTGAATCCACAGGTGTATCCTTTAGCTGTTTAACCCTATCAACTTTTGTATTTAGATCTTTAACACTATCAACTATATCATCAAATTTTGAGTAAATATCTATAAGACGATAAAGTTTCTTCTTTTTATTATTATTTATATTCAACCAAGAATATTCCTCATTTCGAATTTTTTCCCACATCTCACATTCACCAGCCATTAGTACTCTAGAAAGATCATCATTTTTCTTTCTAAGAGACTCAAACTCATTATTTATTTGTGTTCGTACATCTTTCTCAAAATCTTTTAGTGTTTTAACATCCATCTTTTTTTCTATCTCAGAAAAGAATTTAGCTTCCATTTTATTATATAAATAGATAATTACCTTTTACAACTTTGTTAAGTGTATTTGATTTCTCACTTATTTCCATAAGCAACTCAAATATTTTTATAAATCGAGTGTCATTTTCCAATCTAGCAAAATCAGCGTATTCATAACTCACGTTTAAAAAATTATATATCTTTTGAAGTTCACTTTTTAGAAAATTAGATCTAGTAGACATATTTATCTAAACATTATACTAAATGAAAGAATCATATTGTATTGTAGATAAAAGAGTAACTCCTTGCACAGAGCCAAGTGGTTACCAAACAGATAAAAGAGGTTGAACTCAATTCTTTTGTAGATGCGCAGTTTGTGGAAATAAAAAAGTTAGATATGTAAAAACTGGATCAGTTTCTCAAACTGGAAGTGGAAAAAAGAGAAAAACAAAAAAGAAGTCAAAAAACTAAATACCCCGTCTGAAGGGGCGGGCGTCTTTGATACTGTAGTTGGCACAGCAGTTGACGGATTTGTTCATTACGGTTTACCTTGGATGGGTAAAAAAGCAGTTGAAATGGGGCGATATGGAGCAAGTGAATTAATGAGAAATAAAAAACTACAAAAGAAAGCTGTAAATTATGGAATTAATAAACTAACTCCATATATTCAAGATTCTGTTGGAACAGCGATGGACCAGCTGTCAACCAAAGTTAGACCTAAAAAAATATATAAAACTGATAGAAAGGATTTAGACGGCCGATCAGGACGAGGAGTTGACATTCACAAACAAATACTAAAAGTTACACTTTATAGAGGATTAACTATACCAGGCCATAATTATACTGGACCTGGAAATCCTCTTCATGATCAACTTCGTCACGATGATGAGGGAAATATATTAGAAATCTATCAACAACCTACAGGAGCAACGGATGCAGTTAGTATGCAACATGATGTTGATTACACAGTTTGCGGAAATAAACATAAAAGTGAACAATTAAAATGCAAACATACTGCAGATAAAAAAATGGTAAAATCACTAGATGCAATTCCTTGGAAAAAGCGACAATGGGGTCACTTTCTTGCTACAACTATGATAAATACAAAACAAAAACTTGGACTTGGTTTAAACTCGCGTCGGCGTTGAGTAGTGATTGGTCTCAACAATTAGCCGACGAAGTTCACAAACCAATCACAAGAAACTTTCAAAAGAGATCAGTGGTGTCAAACGGGATTGATGAAATCTGGGCTGCTGATTTAGTTGAAATACAAAAGTTTAGTAAGTGGAACAAAGGGATTAAATATCTTTTGATGGTTATTGATGTGTTTAGCAAGTATGAATGGATTAGGGGGTTGAAAGATAAGAAAACTGAAACTGTTAGTAAAGCATTTGGTGATATATTCAAAAGTAAACGTAAACCTCAAATGTTATGGACAGATAAAGGTTCTGAGTTTATCAGTATAAACATTTCAAAGATTTTCCGAAAAGAGAGGGAATCAAGTTGTATCACACTGAAAACGAAGAAAAATCTAGTGTTGTTGAGAGATGGAATAAAACAATGAAAAACAGAATGTGGAAGATGTTTACTGTAAATAACAACACTGTTTACTGGGATAAGATAGATAAACTAGTTAATGATTACAATAACTCGAGACATTCTAGTATAAAAATGACTCCTGTTGAAGCAAGTAAAAAGAAAAATGAAAGTAAAGTTTGGTCTAATTTGTATGGTGATTCTATTTACTTAAAACCTGGTAAATCAAAGTTTGCAATTGGTGATCGTGTTAGAATTTCTAAGTATAAGAGAAAGGTATTTGATAAAGGTTACACACCAAACTGGACAGAGGAGATATTTGTGATTAATAAAGTTTTACCAACAAAACCTGTTACATATAACATCGTTGATTTGATGGGAGAAGAGATTAAGGGTTCTTTCTACGAGCAAGAATTACAAAAAGCAAAACAACAAACATTTAGAATAGAAAAGATTATCAGGAGGGATAATAAGAAGAAAATAGCATTAGTAAAATGGAGTGGATATCCTGATAAATTTAACTCATGGGTGAGTTCTAAGGATTTGGTTGATTTTTAATACAAATAATGTATTAAAAATAAAATCCTATTATTTACTCAGTTTCTTCTTTATCAGAAATAACTAAGTCTTCAATACCATCTTTTACATATTCACCTTCACTATCTTCCTCTTCCTCATCAATTGTTAGTAAAGACTCCCTAGGTTTTAATGGTTTAACATAACACTCATGTACTTTTATTTGTAAAGATGTAACAGTTTTACTAATTTAACATTGCAATACTGATTAATATATTTAAAAGGATTTAAATCCTTACCTCCCTTTCCCTTAAACAAAGATAAAATTTTCTTTGATTTTTCTGAGTAAATACGTTTTGCGTAAAGAACTGGTGCGGATGATTCATCAACTTTTGTTTTCTTTTTTCCTTTCTTGTCTGTATATTCTATCTGTTTGTAATAAAATGGTAAAGACAGAGATGATGCTAGATCTGCACCGTATTCACTCTCTAAATGACTTTGGCACATTGAAACAACATCGTCTAGGGTTACAAAAAATGCTTTTTCTTTAGTATTCGGCTCACTATCTTTAGCCCAAAGACATACTGGCATACTATATCCTACTAACTTATTTGTTTCTTGTTTTTTCTTCTCATTTACACCAAAAGACAAAAGAACTGGAGATTCAATTACCAAAGCTCCTTTCTTTCCATTTGGATATTTGATTTCAATTGGGATACGTTTGTATTTGATCTTGCTATCTTTTACTTTAAATTCTCTGGCTTCTTTAAAAATAATATTGTCTTGGGTAAGATGTTCGTAACTGGATAACTGCATTTTTATTATATCTTTTATTCTTTTAACTCATTTTTTGGCCAAAGTAAATGAACAGACCAAAAGTTTGCCGATTCGGGATTATTATAAGTTAATTCTCCTGATTTATTCTTTATCTTTGTAGCACGAGCAAGATATTTATCTCTTCTGTCTTTATCTTTATGAATAAGATAGTCTGAATATTTTGGTGATCCAAAATGAACTTTCTTTCCATTTGGAAGTGTAGCTACATATTTGTTATTTTTACGTGTTGAATAATCAAGAGATTCAGCACCGAGTTTTATAGCATTTTTGGTTAGTTTTTTGAAATCTTTTCCACTAACAACATATTTTTCATCATCTGGAACATAATCTAAATCCACATCATGTTTATATCCATCATCAACTATAAAATCCAAATCCTCTTTTGTAGGAGTAGTTTCTCTTGATCTTGGTTCCATTTTTTTAATTATTTGTTTAGATTAATCTTGGTCAAAAGGAAAATAATTTAGTCTATTTAAATTTTTTAAACGAATATACCATTCATCTGTATTTCTAATTGGAATAGGTATATCTAAATATTTATGTTTTTCTTCTTCCTCTTCTTCAAAAGTTTTTCCTAAACTTAACAAATAATTACCATCATAATTTACTCCTCCACCACATAAGTAGTATTCATAAGCTAAACAACTATTAATATTTTCTAGTTTATCTAAATTAACTTTTTTACCTTCAATATAATTAGTCATATAATTATTAAAAATCTGACTTATATAACTAAAAAACTCAATTATATCTTTAAATTCTTCTTTTTCTTCATAATATTCTAATACTTTATAAAAATTTTCAACAATTGATAAAAATCTACTTAAACCTTTCAAATACTTTTCCCTTTCTAAATTATTAGTTTCTTTTGCTTCTTTTATTTTTTTAGCTAAAACTTTTTTACTTTCCATGTTTATTATTTGATTAGAATATTTTTGTTAAAAAACCCCTAATCTTATTAAATATTTTATCCTCATAAATGTTTGTAGAATTATACTTATTTTTATAATTATTAAGTTCACTATCAACTCCTTCAATTCCATCAAAACTCAAATCATAAACAATCTTATTATTTGATCTTCCTTCAAACTTAGAAAAAACAACAAAAGTAATTAAACTATGATAAATATTTGGATCTAAAAGCCGTAGTTTTGTCTTTCTATCTGTTTGTTTGTTAATTACTTTTCTTTTCCACTTTTCTACTTCTGAAAGAGTTATTGGTCCGTTATCAGCATCATCTAGGTTAATTGTTTTTACATCATTAAATAAAAGTTGTTTTAAGTCATATCTATTTTTTAATATATATCTAAATTGGTAATTTTTTATAAAATCTTCATATACATATAATTTATTGTTAAAAGGAACTCCAAAACCAAAAAATTCTTCAGGATAAAGATCACTATCTTCAAAAGTAATTCCATATCTATAGTATCTATCTAATAATTGAAAGTAGTCAATTTCATATAGTATTTCACCTTCAACTTCATCATCATAAGAAGCATAGTACTTATATACCAAAAACATAGTTCGTTGATAAGGATGATTTCTTGCTAAATCGTTTTTCATTTTTAAATCAAAAGGTTTTAATTCCCAGTTTGAAGGATTAAATTCATCCAACTCAGGGGAAACTAAAATCATTTTATAATATATCTCTCTTTTTTAAGCTATTTAAAAACAAAAAAAATATAATAAATTAATCTTTTAACAAATATGTTAGAAGATTATTAATCACTATCACTATCAGGTAAATAAATATAAAATTCATCATCACTATCTGTTAATAGAAAATCACTATAAGTCATTTCTTTGATATATAATTTTTCCATAAATTTTCTAAAACGTTCATTAAACTCTCTTAAATTTGGATATTCATTTTCATACCTTTCCTGATTTAACTCACCACTTTCTATATCATAAAATAAATCCATATAATCATCTATTTGTGTATCAAGTGAATTAATAAAATTAACATCACTTTCTTTAAATTTAAAATTGCTATTATCCTCAAGATAACCAAGTTCTTTAGCTTTTACAAATCTTTTAATATAAAGCTTAAGTTGATAAGCTTGAGGAGAATTAAATATTTTTGCATCTAAATCTAATATCTTTAGAAATCTTTCACATGTTTTATTGATCCCTCTTATAAAAAGATATTCATTTTTAAATTCCCTTGCATATTCTGGGATTTTATTAGTTTTTTTAATGCAATTCTGAAAATTCGAAGTATGCTCCAGGATACCCATTTTCCTAACTACTTTTGACAATGTTATGATGTCATTTTATCATCGATAAGAGGACAGACGATAAAAAACTGGCGTCAATTTGTTAACTACAGTACAAGGAAACAATATGGTCATGTGACGTTGTATTTCGAACGGAGTTAGTTGCCCAGTTCCAACTGTTTGAGCCAGAACGCCTGGTAACTACTTTATAGCTTTAATTCGAGGCTTAAGGGAAAGGGCGCCCATTTTTGAAAGCA